GGCTCAAGCGATCCTCCTGCCTCAGCCCCCTGGGTAGCTGGGACTACAGGTGCACGCCACCACACTCAAGTAAGGTTTCTATTTTTTGTAGAGACAGGGTCTCACTCTTGCTCAGGCTGGTCTCCAATTCCTAACCTCAAGTGATCCTCCCGCCTCAGCCTCTCAGAGTGCTAGGATTACAGGTGGTGTGAGCCACTGTGCCCAGCCCACCCTCCATTCTGATCTGTCCCCAGGTGCCTGCACTAACTGCCACACTGCCCTGTCTGCTCCATACTCCACTTTTCCCCACCACACCCTGCATTTGACCCTGACTGTTCCCCCAACACCCAGCTCTCCCACTTCTCCCACAAGCCCCCCTCTGCTGTCCCAGGCCCCCATCTGACTGCCCATAGCCCCCCACAACTCCCAGCCCCCTTCCCATTGCATTTTCCACCTGTCCCCACACCTGGCCTCACCCCAGCCCGCTCCATCCTTCCCAGCCCTCTGCCCCACTGCCCACACCAACCTCCCTGCAATGGCCCTGTCTGTCCTGCCTGCTCCCCCCCATTCCCAGTGGCCCCCACCTGTCCCATCCGTCTCCACATGTCCATACCTTGCCTCTGGTCGTAGGCTTCTTGTGAGATCTCGTATTTCTCCACCTTGGCCACATCCTCATACTCCCCAAGGCGGGCACCACTGTGGTCAATGACCTGTGGCGAGGGGACGGAGGTCAGTGGGGATCGGGGAGTGGCCTGGGATATTGGGGTGCGGCTGCACATCAGAGCGTTCTGTAGACTTAAGTCTCTCCCATTTGGAGAAGACACATTCCTCTACCCTCACCTTATGTAGCCTTTTCTCCTCTCCTGAGCCCAGCAGAAGGGACGGGAGTAGGTATCTACACTGGCCAGCTCCCCATCTCCTCTTACTCACCCCCTCCCAAGCTCGTGGAGGCTGACTCTGCCCCAAAAGTCCCCCACATGCTGGCATCAACACCACTGATGCCCCTAAAGTTAATGACCCCAATTGACAGTGCTCAGGCCTTGCTCACAGCCTCTGGGCAGCGGATCTATTCTCTCTGGGCCTCTGGGACCCTACTAAGCTGGCCTCAACCTTCAGACCCCAGAGCACCTCTTCCTGTACTATCCCTGGCACCTCCTCCAGGAAGTCCTCCCAGACCTTACTGATGGGTCACACACCGAAACGCCAGTATAGGGGCTCCGAGCTCTATGATCTCCTCCTGCGTGGCTCTCACCTCCACTGACCCTTCACATTTGGGCCTTTGATCATTTAGCCAACAGCTACCTCATGCACTGGACAGAACTAAACAGGGACCTTCTCACATGTGCCTCACAACTGTATCACAACACAGATGTTCAGTGAACACTTAGTAAATGAAAGAGAGGAAAAAAGAACCAGTTCTCTGGGCACACTGACTTCTGGAGTCCTGTAGACTGAGATCAAAACTCTGGTGACAGTTCATCCTTGAGAAAGTAAATTCCATCCTGAAGCTAAGTTTTCTCTTCTACAAAATGGGGAAAATTATACCACCTTCCCAGTCTTGTTTTACAGATTCAACTCATCATTCAGCACTGATTCCCTGAGTATCCTCTCTGTTCCAAATGCTGTTCCAGATGCTGGGGACACAGTAGAGAACTAGACTGAGAAAAATTTCTGCCCTGGTGGCACCCTAATTGGGGGTGATGGACAATAAAAAGAAGACCAGAGGGTGGTTAAGAGCTAAGGACAAAAATCTAAAATAGAGCATAAAAGGGAAAGGGCATGAGGCTGAGGCTAATATTTTATACTGAGGCCAGTGAAGGCGTCACTAGGAAGGTGACACTTTAAAGCCTGGAGAGAAGGGGTGAGCCATGCAGGCATATGCAAAAAGAACCACAGAGTATATGCAAAGGCCCTGAGGAGGAGCTCACCTGGGATGTCTAGGGTACAATGTGGTTGGTACAGAAGGAATGAGGTAGTGGGAGTATCAAGACAGAAACAAGGACATGGGCTGATGCACACAGTGGTCCCCTGTGCTCTGGCTTCTCTCAACCTGTCCAGCCTCATCACGTACCGTGATCCACCTCACACTCTAGGTCGGTATACCACTGTTCCCTCTACCTGGCATGCCCTTCCCACCTATTCTATGTCACTCTTTCCTCACCCTTCAGATCTCAGCTCCGACACCCCTTCCTCCAGGAAGGCTTCTCTGATTCTTCCAGGAGTCAGACACCTCTTCAGTGTGCTCTCAGTGCCGAGCTTTTCCGCGTCCCAGCCCAGACCACGCTGGGCTGTCGCTATCTAGTGATAAGTCTGCCTCTCACCACGCTGGGCTGGGGGCTCCGAGAAGGTAGGGCCTATCTTGGGTATCACACAGGGAAAGGGACTGCAAGTATTTGTTGAGTAAGTAGGGACCAGGCGTGGTGGCTCAAACTTGTAATCCTAGCACTCTGGGAGGCGCCGAGACGGGAGGATTGCTTGAGGTCAGGAGTTCGAGACCAGCCTGAGCAAGAGCAAGACCCCATCTCTACTTAAAATAAATAAATAAATAAATAAATAAATGAATGGGGGGGGCAGTCGCAGGCCTCACATGGATGCGGCAGCCATCATCTACAGGGTAGGAGCCCAGCAGCGCATCCTCCTGATCCAGCTTGCTGTAGAACTTGTCGTCAGCGCCATACAGCTCCAGTTCCATGCAGGAAGCAGGGCTGCCCACCACCAGCTCCAGTTTACACTGCGAGGAGGGGGCAGGGTTAGGAGGAAGGCTGCCGGGGGCCCCGCCCTCTGCCCTGAGGCCCCGCCCCTTGTACCCATAACCATCGCCCCGTCCCTGCTCCTCCAAAAGACCCACCGCTCGGGACAGGCCGGGCCCCCGCCCCTCTGCTCCTGCCCTCGCCCTCTGGACCATTTAATTTTTCCCTGGCCCCACCCCCACTCCCAGGTTCTCCCCGGCCCCGCCCCACCGCGGCCCCGGCCCCGGCCCCGGCCCCGGCCCCGGCCCCCGCGCCCGCGGGTCGTCCCGCCCCTCCCGCGTTCGGGAAGCTCCCCCGCGTCTCCTTCGCCCCGCCCCTCCGGCCCCGCCCCCACGGCCACACCTTGAACTCCGCGATGGTGAGGCTGCGACTGTACCGCTTCTCGGAGCGGAAGGTGTTGAGGGAGCTGCTGATGAAAACGGTCACGGTGGGCGCCGTCACCCCCGTCACCTCCATACCGCCGCACCCTGCCGGGGCCCGCAGCCCGGTCCCGCCGCCTCACACCGGCTCCGCAGCCGCCGCCGCCGTCGCCGCTTCTGGGATATCGGCCCCGCCCCTGCCCCGGACCCGACCAATCCACGCCCTCCTGCAACGGGCGCCCGCCAATCGCCGCCGTCGCTCGGCCGCCGCCAGGAAGAGAGCGCTCCCGTAGTCCTGGGAGGGCCCAGCCAATCCCGAGAGCCCTCCATGGTTCTCAGTCCTTCCAATAGTGGCCGGGAAGCGGCCGGGGCCGGCGGGCGGGGGCCGGAGCCGAGAGGCAGGACGGGCGAGAGTTATCCCCGTCCGCGAAGGGTAGACTCGCGCATGTGCACTGCCCCTCAGCCAGGCAAAGAACAATGGCTTCTTCCACTTATGCGCAGAGCTTTGCAGACTGCGCTGGGCATTGTTTCCCCGGCTCTTGGACCAGATCCATACTGTTGTGTAAACTGGGGAGGAGAGGGCCAGAAACTGGAAGCAATCTAGGCCTAGGAAGTCTAAGACATCGAAAGATTGAAGCAAGCAATCAGCCAAACCTCAGTGCGCAGAAAGCCTGGCGCAAGGCCGCGGGGATCTAGCACGTGTGCGCAGCTCCGCCCCTTTTTAGGCGAAGCAACGGTGCCTGGCCCTTCCCGCGACCCGTAGCGCGGCGGAGCGAGCGCGGAAGGTTCGACGGGTTGTGTGTCGCTATGGAGCCTGACGGGACCTACGAGCCGGGCTTCGTGGGTATTCGATTCTGCCAGGAATGGTGAGGCCCGGGGAGCCCGTGTGCCAGGGGAGCAAGGAGTGGCTCCGGGACTGACCTCTGGCCTCCCCTTCCCACAGTAACAACATGCTGTACCCCAAGGAAGACAAGGAGAACCGCATTCTGCTCTACGCGGTGAGCGCGAGCGCGGGTCCCAGCGCGGCCCCGCCCTGCCCCGTGTAGCCCGTGCTCCCCGTTCGCCCCCCCAACTACCCGCTGAGTGCACCCCACTCTGTCTTGTTCATCCCGGAGGGGCCTAACTTGGAGACTCCCTCCCGGAGTCATCCCTTCCGGTCTCGTCTCCCTGTGACCCCCTGCCCCGCACTCGCCCCCTCGCAGTGCCGGAATTGCGATTACCAACAGGAAGCCGACAACAGCTGCATCTACGTTAACAAGATCACGCACGAAGTGGAGTGAGTGGCGGGAACAGGGCTTGCGGGAGCGGGTGTTGGCTTTGGAGGCCCGGTCTGAGCACAGTTAGTCACCCCACTATCCCTGCAGCGAACTGACCCAGATCATCGCGGACGTGTCCCAGGACCCCACGTTGCCGCGGACCGAGGACCACCCGTGCCAGAAGTGAGCGCGCAGTTGGTATTGGGGAGGGAAAAGTGGCTAGTCCTGGGGGGGGGGGGCGAAGAAGGGAGAAGGGAAGGGTGTCAGGCTGTGCGTGATGGAACCATCCCCTCAGGTGCGGCCACAAGGAGGCGGTGTTCTTCCAGTCACACAGTGCCCGGGCCGAGGTGAGTGGCAGGACTGCTTTCTGAGGGGCAGGGATACCAATATTGGGGTGACCCTGCCCTTCTTGAAATCCTGAGCCGGACCCTTGCCGACTGGGAGAGTTCTCTTGTCTGTTCGTTTGGGGCGAGGCACTGCTGGGTGGAGGGTGCTATGCTGTAGGCACCCTCCTCTGGGTACAGACCCTTCCCAACCGTGTGTCCTTTCTGCCAGGATGCCATGCGCTTGTACTACGTCTGCACAGCTCCACACTGCGGCCACCGCTGGACTGAGTGACACCCCTCTCCCTCGAGTTAAATAAATGCCAGGTTCTGTTCACGAGTTGCTTGTGTTTATTTGCCTCGTGGGGAGGACGCTGGCGCACCGGCTCAGGCGGTGCGGTGCAAGGCACGGTGCTGTGCGTAGGCGTCAGGCCTGGAGCTGGTGAAGCCGCAGTCCTCGCACACGTGCAGCTTCTCACGGCGCTCACGGTAGGCGTAGCTGGCCGGCTGCCCGTGCACCTTAGCGAGATGGGCTTCGAGGGAGCAGCGCTGTGTAAATGCCTTCCCACAAGCACCGCACCGGAATGGCCGGATCCCTGTGCACACGGTGTGGAGGGGGAGGGACAGACAGGGCAATGACCTCTGGACTAAAGCGTTCCTGCTTTGCTTTCCAGCGTGGAGCATTTCCCGCCCCTATTCCAAGCTTTTCAGACTGTTTCGCTTATGACCCACCATCTCCTACCCGCATCCAGTGCAGACATGGGGCAGATGCCTGTGTTTCCACCCTCCCTCACCAGAGTGTCCCTTCCCCTGGGGGAGGAGGGAGGCATTCCTTTGTGCCCTTCAATCTGGGGGCCTGTGTCCTGTAACCAGCACCCATATTTATACCCCTTGGCAGGCCCCTACCTTGGTTCCACCTTACACCCACCTGCTGGGGTCTGAGGTACCCCATGTCTCAAGCCTCCGGTTGGCTGTGTCCCTACCGCACTACCAGACACTGGAAACTCCACATCCCTGGTACCTCTCCAGGGTTCCTTCCCTGCCTGGGGCCCAGCAGCCCTCCCTGTCCCTGTCACTGCTCACCGGTGTGAGTCCTCATGTGGCGCTTGAGATCGAAGGCATCGTGAAAGCCCTTGCCGCAGCAGCGGCACACGTGGCGGCGTGCTGGGCTGTGGCACTTGAGGTGCCTCGTCAGCATGCGCTGCAATGGGAAGGCCTTGGGACAAAGCGGGCAGCCAAGTGTCCCTGGGCCTCTTGGAGCAGAGGCCAGGGTGCCCTGTGTGGGCTGCCAGAGGGATGCAGGAGTTAGTCCCTCTGGCTGGACCCTTCCCACCCCTTGTTACTATTGCCCAGGGCCAGGGAGAACTAGGAAGGCTGGAGACTAATTACTGTGTGCATGTCACTCTTCCCAAGGCCTTCCCTGACCGTCCCCCACCGCCGTTATCTTATTTCTTTATTGCATTCATATTTTTCTGCCTTCCAATGTAACATAACTTTTTTTTTTTTTTTTTTGGAACAGTCTTCCTCCATTGCCCTGGCTAGAATACAGTGGCGTCATGATAGGACATAGCAACCTCAAAACTCCTGGGCTCAAGTGATCCTCCTGCCTCAGCCTCCCGAGTAGCTGGGACTACAGGTGTGTACCACCGTATCTAGTTAATTTTTTCTGTTTTTAGTATAGGCAGGTTCTTGCTCTTGTTCAGGCTGGTCTTAAACTCCTGACCTCAAGTGATCCTCCTGTCTCAGCCTCCCAGAGTGCTAGGATTATAGGCCTGAGCCACCATGCCCTGCCTCCTTTTCTAATTTTATGGTCTACCCCCAGCTCCCACCAGAATATAAGCTCTGTAAAGGAGTGAGTTTTTGTCTTAACTCCTGCTAAATACTCGGTGCCTACAACAGTGCCTGGCTCTCAATACTGTAATTATTTCAAGTACATTTACATTCTGGCCGGTGCTTTCCTTCCAATGCATGCACAGCTGAAATATCCCTTCTTAGGGGCTCCGATATCCTTCATGCCCATTGCACTCCTGTCACCCTGTCCCATGTTCTGGCATAAAGTGGTCATCATCCACTCGGACTGAGTCCTCTTCTGTCCCACTGGACGGAGAGATGAGACCTAATGGAGCTCCCTGCTAGGAAAGGAGGGGCGTTCCCAGCAGGGAGAACCGCAGGTGGATGGGCCTGAGTAGTAAGGGACAGTCAGGTGCAACTGAGCCAGGGCTTGTGGGCCAGCTGCAGACTCACCGCTGCCCAAGAGTCCCTGAGGCTGGAAGGCTGGTGTGCTGGTGGCCCCCCTAGGCTGCTGCAGTCTGAGGAGAGAAGCGATAGTGATGCCTTGTGTCTCCCTTGCCCCTTACCTCCAGGCCCAGTGAAGGGCCCACCTGGGATATAGGCATCTCCTCGGAGCTGGTCAGGCAAGTGGCCCCAGTTGGGCGGCTGTGGACGCCGACTCCTGACCAGGAAGGCACGGGGCATCCCCTCGGCAATGGTGAGATGGCTCTGTGCACAGGCTGCCTCCAGCAGCTGTCGGGACTCAGCCCCAATGACTATCCCAGGAGAGGAGGGGAAGCCAGGAGATCATGCAAATTTCCTGACTGGTGCAGCTGACTTAGTGAGCTGGCTCCGGTTACCTCTGCCCTGGGAGCTGCTGTTCATCCCCCTCTTCTCCCAGCGTTTCCGGAGGGAACTCTCCAGCCTCCAGGGCAGACAAGCACTAGGACCCCCAAGGAGGGTCAAGGCAGGGGAGATGGGCCTAGGCAGTTCTGGGGGATGGGGACAGGAAACATGGCCGGGGGGGCTGAGTGTCTCCTGTAGTACCAGCTGGGCAAAGGACTTGAGGGTCTGTTTGCCAGGCAAATCAGTCCCCACAGGATATCCAACAGCCTGCTTGGTTATTCAAATCTCAGCAGCTGTCTGAGGAAACAGGGCAGGAGACCCCGCTGATTGCCTTGCTCCAGAGGGTGCAGGGAGGACAGGTAAGGGCAAAATGGGGATCCAGGCTGTGTGTCCTCAGGCAGGAGCCTCCATCTCTCTGATCCTCAGATGCCCAGAGCTACTGTTCAGCCAGAAGCCCTGGTGTAGTGGGCACTAAGATATTGGTTTGTTAATGATCCAGCCCCTGGTGACTGCCTGGGACACCACTCCCCTCTCCCAGTCTAGAAACTAAAGCGGAGAAGCAGGGGGGCACTCAACACAGCCAGGGGCTCCCAAGACCCTCCCCTGGTGCATCACTGGCCAAGCTCTGTTCTAGAGTGGTCACTGTCTGGTTCTTAACCAGGGATTAAGAATTTTGGACACTCCCCATGCGGTTACTTTCTCCTATTTATTTACCCAGCGATTTTCTGAGTTCCAGCCATAGGCCAGGCCTGTGTGCAAACGAACACAATAGTTGGTGAAGGAGACACCAGGGACAGCCCAGAATGATCAGGACTGTGAGAGGGACGCACAGGCAGAGTGAGCCAGGCTGTGACGGGGAAAGCCCAGGGGGGTCTGGGGGCCCCAGAGAGGCCCCTGATCCAGCCTGTGGGGCAGCATGGCTTCCAGACGTGAACCCGGGAAGCTGTTTCAGATGGAGGGGACGGTGTCCATCCCAGGCTGAGGGAAGTCTGCACAAAGGCTTGGTGGTGAGTTGGCTGCGCTGATTCATTTGGGGCAGCTGTGCCACTGTTTCTGGAGGACCTGGGCCAAGGCATTTCTCATTGAGCCTCAGTTTCTTCACCTGGGAAGTGGGACTAAGGAGTCTCCCTATCATTACTTGGTGTTGAACATCCATGGAGAGAATGCTTAGCACAGAGACTGGCATGTGGCAGACATAAAAAGGGGTGCGGTTAGGATGTCGTGAGGGGTGTGGTGGCGCGGCAAGCATCTGGGTCTCAGTTGGCCTGTCTGTAAAGTGGGGTTTTTAAGCGGTGTCTCCATCAGTTGCCGGATGTCCTGCAGCCTTGACTAGGGTGCCGGGCACAGGTCTGGTGGCTGAGTACCTAGGAGCTGTCCTGATGACTTCTGCCAAGGTAAGTGTGGGGTGCAGAGGGCAAGTGGTAGAGAAGGAAGAGCTGACAGACGGGGTTTGGGAGAGCCTTTCTGTTTCTTCTCAGGGGCCCAGTTGTCCGTGCCCACCACATCTCCTGCGGCAACCAGTTCCAGTGTTGCTGAAGCCAGAAACCTGGTGCCAGCTGTCTTCATTTGTCCCCAGACCCCTGTCCCGTTCCACACTGGCCTGTGTCCTGGGAGGTGGCCTGAAAGGGCTATATCACGCAGGCTCCCATTCCATCTGGCCTGCGGTAGCATCGGAACAGCAGGGTGCCCTGCAGGCGTGTCTGTTTTGCTCTCTAGAAGGTGAATGGCCGTGAGGGCAGATGCTTTGCCTGACCTGTTCCTCATTTTGTCCCTAATGTGCAGAACAGTGACAGGTACCTGGGAGCTGGCAGGGTTTTTTGAACAACTGCAAGATTGGTCCTGATATGTGTCATGTTATGGCAGCAGAGAGCTGTGTCCTCATGTTGAAGGGTCCAGCTCTGCCACCAGGCAAACTTAGGTGTGAGTCTCAGCTCTGGATCACTCTAAACAGTGGGGAAGAACTCACAGGCCCCAGGAGGCCATGTGGTGAGACTGTGCTTTAGGAAAGGGCCCTACTGGCTGCTTTTTATAGGGACTTGGGACAATGGGGGCATTTGTGCTCATGAGAGTGGCCTTCCTAACAGACACTCCTGGGATAAAGAACAACTCCTGGGGAAGGAGTTACTGGTTCTAGCTGCTGGGTGGCCTGGGCCTACCAGGACTGCCCAGTGGGCTAGTCTGCTTGTCTCTCCTTAGTTTCTCCTGTTGCAGATGGGGACAACAGCCTGGACCTTGTTGGATCCAGTGTGGGCCTGGCCCAAGGGCCATGAACCAGTGGTGTGGCAAACATGGACTGGTGAGTAAAGTTGGCTACATGGTGATCACAGCAGCTCTGGTGGGGTCTCAGACATCAGTAGGAGGCATAGGAGGGCTGGCCCCTCCCTGGCGTACAGCTGGGCCCCCCTGAGCAAGGACCACACATGACGCCCCTGTGGCAGGTCAGTGGGCTGGGAGTAGGTGATGCGGGAGGCCAGGCCTTGGGGTTGTCATTATTGAAGTTCCCAAACTTCTTGGGAACGCTGGTCCCATGTTGTCCATTGATGGGAACAGGGCCTAGCCCTGTCGCCAACACAAGCCCCCTGGGCTGTCCTCTGAGTGCCACCCTCTGCCCTCCCCCTGCTTCCACCTGAAGAGGGCTTTGCGGATGGGCCCAGATAGGCTCCAGGAACAATTTCTGCAAACTATCAGTTTATTTGCTTAAAATACCTATTTCCTCAGAGGCAGCAGGACTGTGGTGACGAGGGCCACTGGCTCTCAGTCACCCCGTGCCTTCCTCCGCACGGCTTGCACCAGCAGCTCTGAGTAGTGTTCCAGCAGGGCGTGTAGGTCTGGGCTGCCCAGAGGGCACGCTGCGGGTGGGGAGGGGGGCCCGGGGCTGGGCAGGCCCTGGGCTGGGGCCACATCAGTCCCGACCAGCCAGTCACTGGCTTCCAGCTGGCTGTGGATCCAAAGGAAGGTGGAGGCCAGCTCAGTCTGCACCTGCTGCTGCTCAGCATCCACCTGGTCACTGGAGACCAACTGCAAGGGATGCCGACCTTGTCATGGGCCACCTGGGCCAGGCAGCCTGAGGAGCCCCCTCGACCCTTTCCCCTGCCTCTCGGGCTTGGCTTACCACATGGTAAAGGTCAAGGGCTTCTTGGAAGGCAGTCTGCAGCCTGTGTAAGATGTCTCCTACACTGCTCAGCTCAAGGGGAGCTGGGGACAGGACCTCAGCTGGCACCCCAGGCTCGCTCCAGCTCCTGGGGCTGCTCCGGTGCAGACTCAGCGCATCTGGGGTGGAGAGGAGGCAATGAGCAAGACACAGCTTCCTCCCAGCTGGTGGGAGAGAGGCCAGGGCATCTGGGCCGAGTCCAGTTACTGTGGTTGTGTCTGAATACTTGCTCAGTCCCCAGGCTCCTTCCTCCCCTCCTGCAGGTCTCTGCTCAGATGCAGCCTCTTCCCATCATCCTGTTCAGAACTGCCAGCAATGACCCCTTCTCACTGCCTGATCCCCTTTCTGATGTCTCTCCCTAGCACGTGTCACTTCATGACACATTTGACACTTTCCTTACAGATTTTGCTGGGGTATTGCCCCTAACAAACATGTCAGTTTTGTATTGTCTTGTTTACCACCATGTACCCAGGGCCTAGAACAAATCCCAACAGGTATAAAAATGCTCATTAAATAGTTAAGTAAATGAATGAATAAATGAGTGAATGGCATAGTTGCTGTGGCTGAGTTGAGGGTCTACCTTTGGAGCTCAGCCAGTTAGCTGAGCTTAGGGGACGGTGCTTTGTTCCAAGGGTCGTACTCACCTGGGCAGTGCTCCAGGGGGGAGACGGTGCTGCCAGGGACTCCAGGCCTGGCCTCTGGAAGCTGGGGGCTGCTGGAGCAGGCAGCAGGGTCGAGGGGCTCACAGGCCGGGAGCCTTGGGAGTAAGGCAGAGCTGTGGGGCTTCAGGGCGCTCGCATCCACTGGGCTGGGGGCTCGGAAGCTGGCTGTTGTAACTGTGATACCAGGCTGAGGGTCCACAAGTTCCTGGGACCAGACACACGTGGTGGGTGGCTCCAGGGGCGGTTGGGGCAATAGCAGGCTGTCACAGACACTTGACAGGGTCAGCCTCAGGCCGGCGCGGGCATCGTGGTTGCCCCAGGAGTGCATGGCAGGCTCCTGGCCCTTACTGCCCGAACTGGGTGTCGCTGTGGTAGTGATGGCCTGGAGCTCCTGGCCCAGGGAGGCCAGCTCCCCCATGGACGATGGCCTTCCGAGGGGCCTGGCCAGCTCAGCCATGACAGGGCCCTCACTGTCCCCGAGGGAGATGCTGCATGCCATCTTGGCACGGGAGCTGGCAGTGGCCTCCATGTAGGAGCAGGTGGAGGGGACGTGGATACCCTGAGCCAGGCCTGGGCTGGGTGCCGATGTGGGCGTCGGAGGCTTCCTGTCTGTGGGCAGCACTGAAGAGGGAGGGACACGGGGCGCCAGTGCTGAAAGGCAGGGAACTGTGAAGGAAGTAGAGGCTCTCACCCCGCTGCAGAGCCGATGCCCAGGCCCCACGCAAGGGGGCCGTGGGGTCTGAAGAGACACCCCACAGCTTAGCTGGGCACCCAGGGCTGTTTGGGCTTGGGGCACTCAGTGGGCACCAGGGCAGCCTCAACCTTCCTCCCCGAGAGGACCAGCAAGCTCACCTCTGAGGTGAGGACGAGGCCTGCTGGCTCCCGGCCCTGTGCCCCGAGGGAGGTGGCCCCAGTACCTGCTCTCAGGGGCTCTGCTCGGGGCTGGCTTCTCCTTCGGGCTGTGGGCTTGACCTCTGGAGACGTCACGAGGCGCTGGGGCAGCCGGGTGGGGAAGGTGTGGGGGAACCTGTGGGGAGGAGGCCAGGTGGGAGGGGGACACTCACGCAGCCTGCCCTAGGGTGTCCGAGGGACACAGCCCCGCCGGGGCGGCGGTGTATGGAGAGCAGGCGGGTGGGGTGAGGGTTTGCCAGCTCCTACCGGGATGTCTTCCGGAGGCTTGAGAGGAACTGGGCTGAGATGCTCAGTCGGGGATTGTAGTAGTCTTCGGCCTCGGAGACCTTCATGTCTCTCAGGGAGCCATGGAAGAGCTCTAGGGGAAGGTGCCCGGGGCCCTCAGAGTCCTTGCAGCCAGCCAGCCGTGGACGCAGGCAGACCCCCAGAAACTCCCAACAACACACGCACCCAGGAGCAGACAGAGCAGGGAGAGGGAGAGGTGTGCAGCCCAGTCTTTAAGAGAAAAGGGATGCTCCCCGCCCCGCCCCACCCTGCCAGGGACAGCCCCACCCAGAGGTGTCCACACTGTGCCCAGACTGCACCGACAGCCCAGGCAGGGCCCTACCTTCCGGGTGGCTGTCAGTAAGTGTCTCAAAGTGGTGGCGGAGGAACTTCTCCTGCTCAGGAGTCTGGGGCAGAGAGCTGGTGCACATGCCTGGCCCCTCGGGCTGGGACAACTCCCCGGTACCTGGGCATCCTAGAGAGAAGCCATCAACATCATGAGTCATGGGCAGGTGCCAACTGTCTGGAGAAAGCTGCACTTGCCCATCACACACCCTGTTGCCACCAGGCTGAGAAGGAAAGACTCCGTCTTCCAGACAAGGAAACTGAGGCTTAGTGAGTGCCAAGTCCAGGGCTGATGTGGGGCCAGTGAAGATATATGGTGACCATCCCTAGGCCAGCACAGATTCTGGTAAAGGGCCACTGAGGCAGAGGAGATTGCCATGACTTTTTGGAAAACCCAAGACCAGATAGACAAGCCTCTTACTCTGCGCTCTAGCTGGCATGTCTGGCCCTGCTTACCTGGCGTGGGGGGCGTCGCCATGGCAAACCGCGAGTCCGGGTCAGGCCGTGGAGGGGAGGGGTGGGCAGTGGCAGAGATGCACTCCAAGTCGGCCTCGGACTCCCCCGAGTCTGAAGGAGCAGGGTGTGGTGTGTGGTCAGGACTGAGCTCCACTTCTCTGGGCCCCAGCTTCCCCGTGTGGAGAATGGGGATGATGACAGTGCCCACCCTCCATGTTTATGGACAAGCCAAGTTGCACATCAAGGAGGTGGCAGAGCTGGGCTCCAGCACCCTCAGGAAATGGCAGGGACCATATCTGTCTGCGGTGGCAGACTCTGAGCTTTAGGAAGACTGGGTCAAAGTCACCCTGAGTGCTCAGAAAGGGGCCTGGCTGAATGAACAAACTGTCACAGGGTCCCTGCCTGCCCTACTCACCCTCAGGTGGGCTCTGATCCTTGGAGCTGACGGAGGAGACCCTGAGGTAGGAGTCGCTGTGCTGGTCTCCGAGCCCTTCCTCTACCTCCTTCTCGCAGTACTCGCTGCAGCGCCAGCACGAGTGGGCAGAGGGAGAGTAGCTCACGCTGGCGAGTCACCACCCAGAGCCCCTGGGCACCCACGCCCTGCTCCTCCTGGGAGACTGCCTCAGCGTCTCCTGCCTCCTCCAAATGCCCCCTCCCCCAGGAACCCCTACACCCCACCTGGAACCAGGGAAACCAAGGCTACCTCTGAGGCCACAGGGCTGGGCTCCTGCCCCATCTGGGCCTCACCCGTCCCCTGGGAAAGCGGAGAGCAATCATTTACATGTACCATCAGCTGGAGCCTCCTCTCTTCTTCTAGGGCTCTCCTTGGTGCAAAGGACACCCACCTGTCTGTCCCTGTGACTGTCACTTCTGCCTCCAGGGAGTAGACGAGCTCACTGGCCTCAGGTGACTCCCTCTGCTTGGGGAAGGAGGGACGCCTGCAGCCACCCTCCTGGGGACTCTCTGACTGCGGGGTGAAGAGAGCACAGCTACTCTGAGGCAGCCTCGGCACCCAGGGCCATGGTGTGGGGGGGAGGACGATGTGGGCAGCTCTCACCTTCGGATGTGTGAGCCAGGCTTGTGCCCAGTGCTCTGCTCACCATGGGCTCATCCTGTGCTCGCCCTGCCATCAGTCCCCTCACAGATGAGGACTACACATGGCTGCAAGCACGTAAGAAGCCTAACCCTCTTGGAGTTATTTACGTGAAGTTCAAGAACAGGCAAAACAATCCATGGTGAGAGGTCAGAACAGTGGTTACCTTGGCTGGGGACACTGGCTGGGAGGGGCACGAGGGATAGTCTAGGAGGCAGGAAGTGCTCTGTATTTTGACCGGGGTCGTGGATACATATGAATTACACCAGTAATTGGTCAAGCTATATCCCCAAGCTCTGTGCGCATTACTATACATATGTTATACCACAAGGAAGAAGAAAATTTATGTAACAGCATAAAAAAGCATTGTGTTTGCAAAATAGTAGAGTAAGAGCTAGAGCTGCCAGGGATCTCTGAGGGCCCAGGCCCTGTTCTTAGCACTACATTACTGCAGAAGTCCTCTGAAGCAGGGATTGTCATGGTGGCTTTTGGAAAACCCACGCCCAGAGAGATAAACCTTACTTCAAGTCGCACAGCCAGGAAGGGGCGGGGCCAAGGCTCTATCTACTCAAATGTCCCCCACTGAGGTACAGGCCTGCTCTAGGGCCCGAGCTCTTAACTCCTAAGTGATAGTGACATCCCTGTCTGCCCTGGGAGGTCTCACTGTGCACCGGCCCAGGACTCACCCTCCTGCCCTTCACCATCTCATGTAACCCTCTCTACAGCCACAGAGCGGGGCTCAGCCTATTTGCAAAACCAGAGCTCTTGGGCCCCAAGCCCTGTGTGGGCAGTCATGGTGCAGGGGCTGCGGGCCAGGCGGGTGGGCAGCACGCACCTCGCTCAGCAGGCCTGCCAGGTTCTGTGGCTCCACCGTGTCCAGGACGGAGTCCTCCAGACTTTCGGGCTTCATGGGGGTGAAGTAGCAATCCAGGTCCCGGGCATCCAGGATGGTCTTGAGGGGCTCCTGGCCAGCCCGCTCCGCCCAGCGGCCATGTGGTTGGTAGCTGCGCTTGCCATGGAAGGCTGAGCCATCTGCTGCGTCCTCGTCTCCTAGCTGGAAGACATGGGACAGTCAGGCAGCCAGGGAGGTGCTCACCAACTGCAGCAGGGCCATGACACTGCACAGACCTCACCCAGCCTCTGGGCTTTACACACTATTCAGAAGTGGCTTCCCGATATGTATCTCTGTCACCTCTCTGCGCCCCGCTCCGGCCCTCATCCACCCCAAACCAGGCACCTCGGCCTCTCTGCTCTTCCTTGAACATGCTAATAAGCACAACCCTGCCTCCTGGATTTGAATGGGCAGACTGTTCTGCCTAGAACATTGTTCCCCAATATGTACATGTCCCACTCACTTTGACTCTGCTCAACTATCATCTTCTCAGTGAGGCCCTTTGTGTTTACCTAAAATTGCTACCCCCAGCACCCCTTATTTTCCTTCTTGATTCTGTTCCCTTCACAGAACCTTTCAGCTCCCAGCATGCTACGTGGTTCAGAGTTAACTCGGACACTGTCCCTCGCCCGCCCTGGCGAGTGAGCCTGTGGAGGGGAGGTTTTGTCTGCCTTGCTCGGCGCTGTGTCTGCAACAGCCAGCACAGTGCCTGGTACAGGGCACGTGTGTTGTGGGAGCGAAGGGCTGTCTAGGCTGAGACTGGAAGGATGACAGAGGTTCTCCAGGGAAAGGAGAGACATGGAAAGGGAAGGGGTCCCCAGAAGAAAGAAGAGCCGGGAGAGCGCCCTCCTTTGCCAGCCCCTAGGCGTCCACCCTCCCTGACAACTCACCAGCCGCTTTGCCCAGAGCGGCAGCTTGCCGTTGGTCAGCAGGCACCGGGGATCTGGAGGGACACATGGATTCCATGAAAAGAGGACAAACACCCAGTAGGCAACAGGCAGCACAAACAGGCAGTTCTCCAAACAGGAACCCAGGATGACAGATCAAAAGATGCTCAACCTAATTGTCAGGGAAATGCAAATTTAAACAATGGGACACAACACTTTACTCGTAAGACTGACCAAGATTAAACGCCTGACACTACCAAATGCTGGCCAGAAAGTGCATGGGAATGAAGGGCCCATGTTGGGTGGGCAGTAACTGGACTTGAAGAGCTTCTGGGGCTTTCTTTTAAAATAAAATATGTCCTACTGCCAGGACCCAATGGGACCAATCTTCTGCCTCTGTCTTGTAGACACTTTCACACCTGCCCAAGGTGGAAGCCCAGGACGGCCCAGAATAGCCTCACTTACAACAATGGTGAAAATCAGGAAAAACTTACATGCCCACCTGGAGGGGAAAAACTTAAAAAACTGTACTCTAGGCCATGTGTGGTGGCTCACGCCTATAATCCTAGCACTCTGGAAGGCTGAGGCGGGTGGAATGCTCAAGGTCAGGAGTTCAAGACCAGCCCGAGCAAGAGCGAGACCCCGTCTCTACTAAAAAAAAACAGAAAGAAATTAGCTGGACAACTAAAAATATATAGAGAAAAAATTAGCCGGGCATGGTGGCGCATGCCTGTAGTCCCAGCTACTTGGGAGGCTGAGGCAGGAGAATTGCTTGAGCCCACGAGTTTGAGGTTGCTATGAGCTAGGCTGATGCCATGGCACTCTAGCCTGGGCAACAGAGTGAGACTCTGTCTCAAAAAAAGAGAAAGAATCTTGACTGACATTATTGAGCTTCAGTGTGTGCCAGGCCCGGAGAACAAAGTAGTGGGGGCAAAATCTAGCACTGCTTCCTGATGCTGACACAGTTCCGAATAGGGCCCCTTTCCGACCTGGATCCAGGCTGTCTCTGAAAGGCGTCTTCAGCAGCTCTTCCGGTTCACACTCTTCCTCCAGCTCATCCTCCGTCTGCTCTCCAGGACTCAGGGAGTGAATCTCACGGGGCAGGGATGCGTATGTCTCCTGTCTAAAGCCAGGAACGAGGACAGCAAGGAGAGGACACAGGTAAACACAGGGTGGTGGGGACTTGCCTAGAGCTGGGCACGGGTGCTTCGGGTCATGATGCTGCTGGGTCTCTCACCTGACACGCCCCCTCCCCTAGAAACATCATCCCAATGAATGAGGGATAATAAAGACTGGGCTCGCAAATAAGACAAACTGTGCCAGGGCCACAGCAACGGGACAGAAAGCAAAGCAGATGGTAGGGCTGTGGTCCTGGGCTGCTAGGTTCCCTTCAGATGGTGGCAGTGAGGTTTTGGCCCCTTTGGCGCATGGGAAACTCAAACATACTTGATGTGAGGAGGGCACAGTGGCCAGGACTCTGCTCATCCTCAGATGGAGTGAGCCTCAGAACCAAGAGCCAAAGGGATCTGCCCACTCCACTTCCTCAGTGCCTAGATCTGTGATTCCTCCAACAGCACCTTAGGACAGGTGGCCCACAGTCCCCCTGGTGTCTGCATGGAGGCCAAGGCAAAGCCTCACGATGGAGAGGCACAGACAGGGACACATCCAGGGGTAGGAGAGAGAAAACCAAAAACTTCCCACTTAAAATGAGCAACTCCCCAAACCAAATCTAAAATCAAAAACCAGAACACGAGTTCACTCCAAATAAAACTGGTTTTGCAGCATGAAGCTGTCAAAGAAATATATTTAGAGGACTCAAAGAAATAAGTGAAGGAACAGCTTCCATTTAAAGAGTGAGGACACCTCAGCTCCACTATACCCTTTTCCTGACCTCCCTGTCCCCACCTCAGCCCCCTGGGGCTTCTGCATCACCGTGCTCAGAGGCTCACCGAGCACTCTGCTTTCCCCTGTAAAACCTGCCACTTGTATGACTGCAACTTTGAATTCAAAGTCTGCCTCCTGCACCAGGCTGCTTGTGCACTGTGGGCAGGGCCCAGTGCTGTCTCAGCCATCGCTATGTCCCCAGCATCACTCCTCACAAGGCCCAAGACAGGGGATATCCCTCTGGTGGACAGATGGGGTGCCACCAGGACCTGGGGTGGCTGCTCCACTTCCTGTCTTTTGTATGCTGCTGCTGCTCACGCTGGTTGATCTCCAGCAAATGCTGCTTCATGCAGTTGGTGATCTCAGGGCCCAGGTGCCAGATGAACACGCAGCTGCGGAGGCCAGAGAGATGCAGGAGAGGAAGAGTGAACATGGTGCCACTTGGCCACGGCCAGGGCTCCATCCCCCACCAGCTCAGCACAGGGGCTCTGGGCTCTGTTAGATCTACACCCTGGGCCCAGGTCAAGGCGTCCCAGCAAGCCAGGGCCTGCTCTGATAGCTTCAAGACTTGAAGGGGCTGTGGAGAAGTGGGATAAACCAAGGGAGTGACAAAAGGGACTTCCTTGAGCACCAACCATGTGCTAATTAGTGTGTGTGTGTGTATATATATATAATCTTGTGTATAATCTTATTCAATATATATTCAATTCAATATATTCTTATTCAATTATCTTATATATTCTTATTCAATTATATATATAATCTTATTCAATTATATATATATAATCTTATTCAATGCTCATCATAGAATTTTCAAGGTAGATGGTGTCATCTTTCTTACAGAGAAACAAACTGAGACTCGGAGAAGGGAAATGACCTGTTCACAGTGATGAGAAAATAAACGACAGATCTGGGATTTGAACCTGGGGCTGGGTGTGACACCGAGGTCCACACTGTCCAAGGAGGGAGTAAGCTGGGAAGCTCAAGAGTCTCCCTACACAGGAGGGCTGTGGGCAGAGTGCTCATGGTCCACTCTCCCTGCTATATATGTCCCACCCCCTCCCAGAGGGAGGCCCAGCCAGGGGCAGCCTCCAGGTCTGTCCCACCTGTCTCCAGATACTGTGATCAAGTGACGACAGTCATAGGTGAATTTCATGCCGGTGATGATTTCTGCAAACGAAGCAGAGAAGCCACACTTGCCTTCTGAGTCAGAGGCCGCCAGGGCGGGAGGGCAGGTGTCCCAAGCAGCGAGGCACACCCACCTGAATGGCCAAACATCTTGGCGACGCACTCGCCCGAGTAAAAGTCAATCACTGAGATGCTCTTGTCAGAGCAGCTTGTGGCCAGGAAGGTGCCTGAGGGGTCCACATGGACCTGCCAGGAAAGAGACCCACATGTCACTCAGGCGGCCTGCGATTTCCTTATTGTTTGGTCTGGGCCAAACATCCCAGCCCTCGCTGACTAGGCCCCCTCATGCAGGACACTTGGCACATGGAATCATCCCAGGAACCCTTGCAACGTGCACCCTGGCAGGGCAGGAAACTGCTGATCCCATTTTACAACAGAAGAAATCCACCACCGCTGCAACAGGAGTAATGGTAGCCGGGCCCCGTGCCAAGCACTTTGGGTACAAACTTCATTCTTCCACAGAATACCCCTATGATAGAAGCCATCTTTATGTGCAATTTACAGAAGATGAAACAGGCTCAAGAGGTGATGCTTGCCCAAGGTCACACAGGCAGCCCAGGCAGAGTGGGGGGCTGACCTTGGAGCCTGAACTCACAACTCTCCTAGTCCAGAGGAGGCTCTGAGAAGGTCCCCATCTCATCCTGAGTAATGCATGTCTGGCAGGGGCAAGCCAGGAGAGGAGTCCATGGCTCCCTCATTCCACCCACTATCCCCTATTGTTCTCAAAGGAACCCACTTAAATGCCCCTTCTTGGGGAAGGGCTTAGTAAATAAAGGTAAAGCAGGCCGGGTGCAGTGGCTCACGCCTGTAATCCCAGCACTTTGGGAGGCCAAAGAGGGAGAATAACTTGAGGCTAGGAATTCAAGATCAGTCTGGGCAACATAGTGAGACATTCTCTACAAAAAATAAAATAGCCAGGTGTAATGGCGCATGCTTGTAGTCCCAGCTACTCAGGAGGCTGAGGCAGGAGGATCACTTGAGCCCAAGAGTTTGGGGTTACAGTGAGCTATGACAACGCCACTGCACTCTAGTCTGGGCAACAGAGCAACATCTTGTCTCTTAGTTAAAAAAAAAAGAAGATAAAGCAGTCAGGGCCACCCACCCCACGCCCCCTCCCAAGCATCCTTGGTTAACCAGGCCTGAGCACTGGCCAGTGTGTGATCCTATGATTAAGCACAAAGGACACAAGTCTCAGGTGGCCCATCAGGGCAGCAGACAGACAGGGGCCTTGTGTGGGGGTGTCTGCGTGAGGTTTTCACCCCAGGGGCCCCTGCTTCTCACCTTCAGCAGGGACCCTTCATCACCCTGGGAGCCCTTGTAGCACTTCTTCTGCTTCCCATTCACAGTGTTGTAGACTCTGGGGAGATGGGGATACACCATGGCCTTCAGGGCCCTGCCCACCCTGCCCCCTCTAACCCTCTAGTTCCTGCTGCCCCCATCCTTGGAATACCCTGTTAAGTTTTGTCCCCGTCAGATGCCTGGACTGAAACCCCATCTCAAGCTGAGGGAGGCTGTGTATCAACCTGAGTTAACACCCGTCTCCCCCACCGCACAGCACAGCAAGCTCGGTGCCTGGCACCCAATCAGAAGGGAGGCAGAGAACCTCTTTGCTCAGCTCTGCCCTGCGCGCTCCCTCTCCACTTTCCCCTGCTCCCTCCTCCACACCCTCCCCAGGCTCCGGCTCAGAGGGCCCTTCCTCCAAGTCCTGCTTAATCCCCAGGGAGTCAGGTGTCTCCCCAGGGCCCCCATAACTCCCTGGGGACAATGCTCTGGGCTCTCCCTATCCCGGCCCTGACCACTCCGCACTGTCACTGTCTGGTCCCCTTCACTGGATTGTGAACTCTGTGGAGGGGCTGGGGCTGCCCTGGCCGCTGCCGTGACCCCGGCACCACCCAGCCCTGGTAGGTGCTCAGGGAATGCGGGTGAATGAATGGGTTTGTGACCCACATCCACGTCTCTCCGTCTCCCCACATAGGCCCGGGAGGGCCAGAAGGAAGCTCTGCCGACCTGGAGGCTAGGCCTGGGAGAGGCTGGCTTCTGAGAGACATCTCCTGGGTTCCTCACCCCGCCCAGCTTCTCAGGAAGATGAGCAGGGGGAGGAAAGCAGCCAGCCTAGGAGAGGACAGGCGACGTCCCATACTGGCCTGTTCAGATACCAGCTGGGCCAGCTAAGGGCCAGGGGCCGCCCCTCACCTCACATTGCGGTCCTGGCAGGCCACCGCCACGTACTTCTGGGTGATGTCAATGTCCATGTCATACAAGGTGGTTTTCTCTGCTACGTGGTGGGTACGGACAAAGTGTAGTCCATCCGAGGCCTGGCAGGACAGGCAGGGCCTTCAGAAGGCACCCCTGACAAGCCCCTCACCCCAGCCCCCAGGAGGCCACCCCACCCTACCCGCTGGGCACTGCGGAAGTAGATGCTCTTGTCGGCCCCACAGCTGATCATCTGGATGTCTCTGTTGCCTGGGGAAAGAAAAGGGAATGCACTAGGCAGGGCTGGCTGCATGGTCAGGGGCCCTAGCTCGGGAACTCCACTGCAAAGGCAATCACCCATCTTTACTGGGATCAAGGAGGGCTTCCTGGAGGGGGTGCGGTCGGTGCTGGGTCCAGATGGGAGCTGTGTGAGGGGGCAAAAATGGAGCTGTAGAGCAAGGGCATATAGGGAAGCAAAGGCTAGGGACACAGAAGGGGCACCATATCCAATCTGGGACTTAGATGGCTGACATGAACAGTAGTATGGAGGCAGGAATACAGCAGGAACAGGTGGAGACAAGCTGGGAGGCTCAGGCCATCAAGGACAATCAGAACATCCACAGGAACCTTGGGCCAGGCTTCAAGCATGTGCCTGATCTTCCAGAATGCTCACCGTCCACCTCACTGTACGAACATGAACACGGGCTCAGAGTCCTTGTGCCAAGGTACAGAGAGGGCAGGGCCAGGACTGAACCAGGCAGTCGCTGGTGCCAGAGTCAAAGCTGTTAAACACAGTGCTCTCACCCCAGGACTCCCCTCTGGGCCTCAGATCCTGTCTATGCAATGGGCATAATGACAGTCCCTGCCCTGTGAAGTTGTGTGAAGCCCATGACAGCGGCTGCTCCGTGGCAAGCACTATGAACACTCTTGCTTTTGCTATTCCCATTTCTTTATACAGTAAGAGCTGTGCGGCCAGGCGTGGTGACTCATGCCTATAATTCTAGCACTCTGGGAGGCTGAGGTGGGTAGATCGTTTGAGCTCAGGAGTTCGAGACCAGCCTGAGCAAGAGCAAGACCCTGTCTCTACTAAAAATAGAAAGAAATTAGCTGGACAACTAAAAATACATATAGAAAAAATTAGCCAGGCATGGTGGCGCATGCCTGTAGTCCCAGCTACTTGGGAGGCTGAGGCAGAAGGATCACTTGAGCCCAGTAAGTAGTGTGAGGTTGCTGTGAGCTAGGCTGACTCCACAGCACTCTAGCCCGGGCAACAGTGAGACTCAAAAAAGTGAGTCTCAAAAAAAAAAAGATTAAAAGCTGTGGTGAGGACAAAAAGACAGAAAAGACTTAGGGTCTTGGTTTTTCTTTTCTTTTTTTTTTTTTTTGAGAATGAGAGAGAGAGAGAATGAGAGAGAGAATAAGAGAGAGAAAGAGAGAGAATATGAGAATGAGTGAAAGAGAGAATGAGAATCAGAGAATGAAAGAATGGGAGAGAGAGAGAATAAGAGAGAGAATGAGAGAGAAAGAGAGAGAGAGAATGCTGAAAATTTTAAAAGATTCGACCTCCAACCTTTGGATCCAGCTGTGCCTGAATCGGGAGTTTGCTCCTCCCTTTTCTGTTGAAGCTAGAGGGAGTTTTCGCGGCTACTGCAAGCAAAGGTGCCCATCTGCCGAGGCACAGGGCTGGGAAGAAAGGGGCTCACCAGCAAACTTGATGGCCGTGATGGAGGAGGAGTGGTCGTCCAGGGTCTGCTCCAGGTTGTAGTTCTTCTCCGCATTCAGCACGTGGATCAGCCGGTCCCGACTGGCCGAGGCCAGCAAGGTCAGCCCTGTGAGAGGAGAGGATGGGCCTGGGTTCCCCGAAGCCTGCATTGTGACCGAGCTGTCCCATCCATGGAGAAGGGGTCTTTGGTTTTAAACCTGTATCCAGCTTGCCCCAAACCCAGCAAGAGTCGCTCCCTTAGCTCTGTGTGGTCTTCATGGAGTCCCCAAACCCTGGCATTTCCCATTCCTCACCACCTGCTCAGGGAGGATGAATCCTGACACGTGCACGGATGCTTCTCCATGCATGCCCACTGCAGACCTTCCAGCAGAGCCAGGGCCCTTTCCTGCTGAGCCCAACTCCTTGGCAGCCATGTCAAGCCCCGGCAACTTCTTGGCTTTATCTGAAATCATGGCCCCCTCACTCTGAGCTCTGGCTCCCCGGGCCTCGTGCAGACTTGACTGCTGGCTGCCACACTTCCTCCTTCTGCCCCTGGCTTTCCCTACTGGCCCCCTCAGACAGTGCCGACTGTGGTCACCGGGTATGTCCAAGGCCTAACAACACAACCTGAGGCTGTGCTGGAGGGGAGCTCAGGAAGGGTCTACCAGGTGAAGAGAGAGTTAAAGAAAATGTGGTGGCCAGAGGGCATGAGGGACGGAAGAATGAAAGAAGAGCATGGGGAAAGTCACCGTGTGATCAGGGCGTAATTCCACCTCCCTTATAATCCTGCCAAAAATAAATCACCCAAATCAAATCACAAGGAAAACAGACTAACCCAAACTGAGAGAGATTCTACACAATGACTGGCCCGTACTCTGCAGAAATCCAAAGTTAAAAAGACAAATTAAGACTGTGGAGCCGGGCGCGGTGGCTCACGCCTGTAATCCTAGCTCTCTGGGAGGCTGAGGTGGGCGGATCGTTTGAGCTCAGGAGTTCGAAACCAACCTGAGCAAGAGCGAGACCCTGTCTCTACTATAAATAGAAAGAAATTAATTGGCCAACTAATATATATAGAAAAAATCAGCTGGGCATGGTGGTGCATGCCTGTAGTCCCAGCTACTCGGGAGGCTGAGGCAGGAGGATTGCTTGAGCCCAGGAGTTTGAGGTTGCTGTGAACTAGGCTGATGCCATGGCACTCACTCTAGCCTAAGCAACAAAGCAAGACTTTGTCTCAAAAAAAAAAGACCGTGGAAATATTCCAGAATGAAGGCAACAAAAAAGCCATGACACAACTGAAGTGTAAACCTGGCCTAGGAAAACAAAGGTGCTTTAAAGGACAACATTGGGACAACTAGCAACATTCGAATAGGAACCACAGATGACAGTAGAGTGAAGTCCCCAGATTGGATAAGTGTACTGTGGTCACGTACGTGGATGTCCTTGTTTCTAGGAAATGCTCATGGAAGCACTTGGGGTGAAGGAGCAGCATGCCTGCAACGTACTCTTCGGCATCATTTTATCGTGTATGTGTGAGCGTGTGTATGTACACACACGCACATACACAGAGAGATGGAAAGAGCGTGTGATGTTGTGAAACACATGTTTCAAGGCTCACAGCTGTCATCCATGGTCCCACCAGACACCAACTACTCCTTTCTGTGGCTCTGCCAGGGGGACATCCCTTGCCAACCCCCACCACACGCCACGGTCTCACCTGTCTCAGGCTTGGAGTACTCGAGGCACAGCACCTCGGCATCGTGGGCCTCCACCTTGACCAGCTCATCCATGAAGTGCAGCTCGTGGATCCTGGGAGACACACACGGCCCGCTATCCCCTGCCCAAGTCCCCACGGCCCAGCCCAGCTCTGCCACTGCTAGAAAGGTCAGAACAGCCACGTGGGCAATATGGGAACCCCCTTGTCACGGCCAGACAGCTTGGAGATGCACAAGTGCATCTTCTCTAGAAACCTGACATCGCAAAGGGAGCAGCATCGCGCCAGCGAGCACCTCAGCAGGCAGCGGCCCCTTGTGGTTCACGGGCCAGAACATACCCCCAGGGATCTAGGACAATCCTCTGGGGGCAGGGCAGGGGACAGGGGTCACAGGTCACCATCAAGGATAGGACCTATGGATGAGAACATTTGATGGTGGTAGAGACTCAAATCTAAACCTTCCTCATTCTCTTCAAATGAAATCAGCCAACAGGTCATCATAGCTGGCCTGTGACACAACAGGCCACACTGGTGGCCTCTCTTGTCTCAGTTAGCCCATCTGACAAATGGAGCTAAAACCAGCACTGGTACCATAGGACACAGTGCTTAGGCCAGGCCTGGCACGGGGGAGGAGTGCTACACACACGTTAGCATCAACGTGAACACCGACACAGTGAGCTGGCCTCATGCAGTGACTGATACCAAAACAGAGGTGCCAATATTTAAAAGTGATAGAATTTCACAGAAAAAAAAATCTGCACTTTCTGCTCTTCTTTGACAGTGGAAAGATATGACAGCTTGCAGCCTGTCGTGGTGCTGCGCGGTGACCGTCCCTCTGTGGGGCACCTGCTTTCCATTTCCCTTCCACCCCAACAGCTCCAACACCCTGGTGGTCATGGCTGTCATTTGTCATCTTAAATCTTGCCCTGTGACAGGCTTATGTTCGGTCAGCACCTTTTGGGCTGATGACATCTTGAAAAACCTCTACAGGAAGGGGGTAAGCAGCCTGAGCCCTCAAATGTCCCACTCTCCTGGCCCCTCTCCCACAGCCACCACGACCCTCCCCAGCTGGCATTTCACTGACAGTTCAGTACCATGTGGTGGTGAAAGTGCCACTCTCCCCCAGAGTCGTATGAGTTTGCCTGTCCACTCCGGAGGGCAAGTCTGCATGCCGGCTGCCAGGCTCTCAGTACTTACCTGATTTCAGCCCTTCTGGAAGCCCGTTCTCAGCTTAAGTTCCCAGAATGGCTGGTTACTGGATTGCTACTCACATCCCTCATTCCCGTGGGGCAGCCAGAGGTACCAAAGCCAGGGCTCCTCCCTACTGCCCCAAGAACCCAGCCGGAGCTGAGAGGTCTACGCTACACCCCACCAGGGCCCACTTGCCTCAGATTTCCACTTCGGTCGCCTGAAGCCAAATGCTGGCCATCAGGACTGACCTGCATGACTCGAACCCCGGCTTTCACATCCATGGGCGTCGCATTCTCACTCCCCCGGTCTGGGAAGTGTGACGTGTCCTGTAGGTGCTGGATGTCATTCTCCACATACACTACCTTCAGCAGGGTCTGTAGGAAGGAGAGGGCTGAGGTCAGTGCCGCAAGGATCTCAGAAGCACCTCTGAAGTTCTGTGCCTCTCCACTGCCAGTCTCCCTTTCTTCATCAGTAACATGACTCCAATTTTGAGCTGGGAGTTTCACCAACCAGAACAGTAACTATGTTTCCCCACCTCCCTTGCAACTAGATGAGGGTATATGAATAAATTGTGGGTAATGAGATGTCAAGCAAGCAAATACTCTTCTGCTGTCTTTTCTCCATCTTGCTGACTGGAACATGGATATTATAGCTGGAGCTCCAGCAGCCATGATGGGTCAATGAGGACAAGGGCTACTCCCTCAAAGGACAGAGCAGCAACCTGGAAGGCCCGTGGGTCTCTAAGGGCTTGTTGCAGCTGCCAAAACAATCTGGACTGATTACTACCAAACTACTTTTATGAGTAAGAAAACCAAACTTTTAACTCTTATATTGAGTTTTTCTATTGTGTGAAGCCAAATACAGCAAGTATGTCATAGGTGCAGAAGAGAAGACAGTGGCATTGGGTTGGGGTGAGGAGAGCAATAAAGGGACACCTGTGGAGCACCTGCCACACAATCCTGCATCAAGGGCCTTTTTTGTTCCAGCCACACTGATCTCTTTTTTTTTTTTTGAGACAGAGTCTCACTTTGTTGCCCAGGCTAGAGTGAGTGCTGTGGCGTCAGCCTGGCTCACAGCAACCTCAATCTCCGGGGCTCAGCGATCCTCCTGCCTCAGCCTCCCGAGTAGCTGGGACTACAGGCATGTGCTGCCATGCCCGGCTAATTTTTTTTTATATATATATTTTTAGTTGGTCAATTAATTTATTTCTATTTTTGGTAGAGATGGGGTCTCGCTCAGGCTGGTTTCGAACTCCTGACCTTGAGCAATCCACCCGCCTTGGCCTCCCAAAGTGCTAGGATTACAGACGTGAGCCACCACGCCCGGCTTTACACTGATCTCTTTCAGATTTTCAACTCACCAAGCTCTTTCCCAGCTCAGCGCGCCTGCACAGGCTATTCTCCAAGTGTGGAGCCCTCTCCCCTCCCTTCTTCACTCCTCCCAGTCCTCCTTGTCTCAGCTTAGTTGTCTCTTTCTCAGGAAGCCACTCCTGATATCCCAGACAAGATCACATGATACCATTATATACCCTACCAGCACCCGCAATCTTCTGTCATGGTGTGTGCTTATTGTACCTGTGATCATACACGATTTGCATGGTTACCAGTTCACTATCTGCCTCTCCCCACTAGACTGTGCCACAAGGGCAAGAGAAGGGTCTGTCTTTGTCATTGCTGTGTCCCCAGCATGCCCCAAAGCACCTAGCACAGACCTTAGTAAGTACCTGCAGAATAAACGAACGCCTGATTCAGGTCTGAGCTCCTCAGAGAAGCTCCCTTCGCCAACCTTGCGACACTAACCAAAATTTCTCCAGCAAACTTTCCTCCCCAGCCTCCCGTCACGGCTCTCTCCAGCGGTCTGCCAGCACCCCTACCTGAGGCCTCACTGCGTGGCAGCTAGTCAGACGGGGGAAGCCCCTGCCTGGCTGGGCCCATCAGGTGCTCTTCCAGGGAGTTCTGACTCAAGACTTAGGGAGCAATTTCATCTCTGTTGGGCGTGTCAGGCTGCCAGGAGGGACTGTGTCCACACACACCTGGAGAGCAGGAGCTGACTGGCAGAGAATTAGAGAACACAGACCATGTCACCTCAGAAAGAAAGAGAGGGGGAGAGAAAGAAACAAGAGGAAGGGACATGGAGAGCGAGCCCCTCGGCTCCTGGTTCTTGCCTCTAGTGAAGCCTAACATCTAGGTTCTGCAAGACTCCCTCCTGCCCCTGCATCCTAGCTCAAAGCGCACCTTTGTTCCTTCTGACAGACGGTTCCCAATGAAGCCACTCACATTGCTGAAGATGTTTTTCTGCCAGTGAGAATCAGGGCTGCTATCCATGTTCCAGAAGCGGATGGTGTTGTCTGAGGAACAAGTCAGAAAAGATCCTGATGGCAAACAAGCTCTCTGATCTTCAAACTCAGGATATACCTATAGTTCCCAAGAGAAGAAGGCAAAGGGTGATTAATTACAACCGCCTCAGTGACAGCACTATGATACAGTGTTGCATCTTGGTGCCAGAAAAAAAGTAAGTTAAGATAAACAGTACAACACCATCTATGTTAAAAATAAACAAAAAAATGACACAAAATGCTATCATATATTGTCCATATCCCACCTTCAGCTCAGGGCTTAAAACATCCCCACAATCAGCCAGGCGTGGTGGCTCATGCCTGTAATCCTAGCACTCTGGGAGGCCGAGGAGGGAGGATCGCTCAAGGTCAGGAGTTCAAGACCAGCCTGAGCAAGAGCTAATTTTTTCTATATATATTAGTTGGCCAATTAATTTTTTTTTTTTTTTTTTTTTTTTTTTTTTTTTTTTTTTTTTTTTTTTTTTTTTTTTTTGAGACAGAGTCTCGCTTTGTTGCCCAGGCTAGAGTGAGTGCCGTGGCGTCAGCCTAGCTCACAGCAACCTCAAACTCCTAGGCTCGAGTGATCCTTCTGCCTCAGCCTCCCGGGTAGCTGGGACTACAGGCATGCGCCACCATGCCCGGCTAATTTTTTTTTTTATATATATATCAGTTGGCCAATTAATTTCTTTCTATTTATAGTAGAGACGGGGTCTCGCTCTTGCTCAGGCTGGTTTTGAACTCCTGACCTTGAGCAATCCGCCCGCCTCGGCCTCCCAAGAGCTAGGATTACAGGCGTGAGCCACAGCGCCCGGCCAATTAATTTCTTTCTATTTTTTTATAGTAGAGACGGGGTCTCGCTCTTGCTCAGGCTGATTTCGAACTCCTGACCTCGAGCAATCCGCCTGCTTCGGCCTCCCAGAGTGCTAGGATTACAGGCATGAGCCACCATGCCCGGCCTAATTTCTTTCTGTTTTTAGTAGAGACGGGGGAGGTAGAGGCTGAGGCGCGGCGGAGGGAAGGGGGCTCACCTCCACGTTCCAGACATAGGAGCTGTGGAAGAGCTCCGACCACATCTTGCCCACTTGGTTGATGTCCTTGACATCCCAGATGTAGATGCTGTGGTCCCTATACACGCAGGACAGCCACTGGTGGACAGGGTCGAAGGTCAGCGCCACAGTATCTGGGTAGACGGCTTCTGCCTTCTTCTGGAAGAGAAAGCTAACATGGCCACATGGGTTATCGATCACCATCAATGTCACTGTGAGTACTGATGGCCACCTCTGGTGACAGTGGAGCTGCCTTCTGCCCGGCAATGCCATCCCTCATGGTATTTGTGGTCCTCCATCTTTCCTATTCCAATTCTACTTCTCCCTCTTCCATCTTCCTTTACTTTGCTTCTAATATAGAGGTTATAAACTGGAAGTTTCTGCCTGGCCCTGAGAACATGTGAGTTTCTGACTCCTGTTAAAATTTTTCTCCCCTTGGTCCAGATAATCCAAACTCCTGTCCTCTCTCTGAGCATGGAAGGATAATGGCCATGTACCTCAGGCCTCCTCTCTCCTTAGCCTTACCAACACATGATCACAAGCCCCTGTGTAAGGGGGCTGGGGAGCTGTCTCACAACCTGGGACCTCCCTACAAAGGCTATAGTTTATTGAGCACTTACTTTGTGCCAGGATGAAAGTTTTAGCTGCAATAAATTCTCACCACCACCATGAGAGGTAGGTACTATATTTTACAGATGAGAAAACTGAATCATAGGGAGGTGCAGTGACCTGCCTGTAGCCACACAGCATACAACAGAAGGTGGCAGAGCTAGGCAGCCTGGCTACTGCAACACACTGCCACCTGTGGGTTGTACACCCATCCTCTTTTGTGACACCCAGTGGCCTGTTCAGGCTCTCTCTTGGAAAAGGTACCCAGGAGCTAGTGTCCAGCAATCTACAAAGAGGCAGGGCCAGGCACCCAGCACACCTGGCTAGGTAGCCTCCCTCTCCAAACAGACTTACAGCAACGGGGAAGAGAAGCCACAGCTTAGCCCTCCCAGCCACTCTTGACACCATAGCCAAGGGATCCAATATGCAAGGCCTGGTCACTTAACTGCAATACCTGAAACCCCCAGTGGCTGCTCACTGACCTCAGACTAGACTACAGGCTCCTCCCCTGGCACACTGGGCTCTGGCCACAGCCCCTGGCTACCCCTGCAACATGACAAGCCCAATGTATTGTCCCCTTGAAGGCCTTAACACTTGCTGCTGGGACCCTGCTCTCCACACAGCTGGCTCCTTCTCACCAGATACCCGATAACACAGCTCACCCCCAGCACTCTTGTTCCCGAGTCCTGCTTTATTGCACCAAAGCAGTCACGACTATTTGAAATTATCTTGTTTGTGTACTTGTTTATCATCAAGGCCCCTCGCTAGACTGTGGACTTTATGGTGGCAGAGATTTTGCTGCCTCATGATAGCTGTAACCTGCTTCCAGCCCAGGGCTGGTACTCAGTAGCTGCTTAATAAGTGTCAGCCACATGGATGAAATACTCCGCAATATTCACACCTGCTCTGAGCTTTTCTCCTTCACAGCACTTGGCACTACCTGATGTTATTATTTTGCTTATTCCTTTATTTGCTCACTGACTGTTTCTTCCCCCACCCAGCCTCACCTCTTACCCTGGAGCTTGCCTCGGGAAGGCAGGGAATTTTCTGCTTTGTTCACTATTGTGATACTCAGGGCTGAGAGTAATCGCTAGTATTTGTGGGATGGACAGACAGATCTGGAAGCACAGATGGATGCTAGTGGACAGGCTCTGGGTGGGCCCTGCCTCCTCCCCTTGCCAAGCAGTACCTGGGCTCCAGGCCCTGTGCCACGTCTACCCCAAGGTAGTGCGGCTTGGGGAGGTTGGCGAGGTAGTGCAGGCTGTGGGCCTGGAAGATGCGGACAATCCCGTCTGTGCAGCCACAGAAGATGAGCTCCTGGCTAACACAGAGGCAGGAAGAGAGAGAGACCTGTGGGAGCAAACGGGACCCAAGTGAATTTGGTGCTTCATGTGGCCTGGCCAGGGATATAGGGACTAACAGAGCAGCCTTGGGCCTCCCGAGATGACTTACAGTTCCTTGGGTCTGAGATGCCCATTTTAGCATATTTTAAGATTTTTGAAATCAGGATATAGCACACCACCATTATTGAAGGACACACGCCAGCAGGTAGACTGAGGCATGAGTCAGGACACAGTTGTCACTGCTGTCTATAGAGATATGCAGCTGTGCAATGCGAGAAGTGTGAACTGGATCAAACAGTGATGGGAAAATGACCGTAACCTTGACTATATTTCAGGGTGCCAGGCACTGTGCTCTCTTACATAAATTATCTCGTATGACTTCCTCATCTACCCTGGGAGGAAGGCAGCAGCGTTCCCACTTTACAGATGTGGAAGCTGAGGCTCAGGGAGGGGGAGGCATCACCGAGAGTCACAGGTCACGGGGAAGAGCGTCTGCCCTGCTGGCGGCAGAGAGGGTGTGGGTACCTTCAGGTTGATCCACTTCTCCAGCACCCTCTTCTCGTTGAACTGGCAGAGCAGGCCTGAGTAGGACACGCAGAAGGTACTGCCTGCCATCCGGCCCCGGCCACAGGCCACACCACAGAAGATGTTGTTGTGCAGCTCACCCAAGATGCCCGAACGCCCTACGAGGGGCACCGTGCCCATCACCTGGAGGCATAGCAGGGCACAGGGCACGGTAAGACACTGCATGGTCTCCAACAGGGCCACAATGGGCCAGAGGCTACGACACAGCTAAACAGGAGAACTCTAAGAAACTCTTCCAAGTGGGCAGAGGGGCTGGGGGGCAGTGGTCCCAGAATGAGGTCTGGCCCCAGGGTTGGGGGGTTCCCAGCAGGGCCTGCCAGTCTGCACCTGCAGAGCAGGCCCAGAAACAGAATCTGGGCTCCTCAGAGGCCAGCTGACCTCTAAGACCACCACCCCCAAGAAACAGGAGCCCCTGCTGCTGCTAACGGTAACTCCCTCAGGGCCTGGCAGAGGAAGTGGGGACAGAAACTCACCTTTATTTCAGTGGAGACTTCTAGGAACCAGAACCTCACATGCCGGTTCCCAACAGTGACAAAATAGCTGCTGTCCTCTGAAAAGGAGAGGGCGATGACTCTGCAGGATACCTTGTTGGAGGCCACCAGGATGTCTTTCTGGAAGAATCAGTGCCGAAAAGCTCACACTAGCACCTATCCCACTGGACTACTGTTTCTGCCCTCCACCCCAGGTCTTCCAGCTCATCCCGCTCCAAGTCCGTTTTCTGCAGACCCTCCAGGGAGCTGCTTTGTGGGGAAACCTACAAGTAGCACTCTTGTCATTCGAAGTCTACAGAGGAAGAGACCGAGGCTTGGAAAAGCCCTCACGGAGACTATGTTCCAGAGCTCTCTCCATGGAATCCCCTCAACAGCCCTAGAAGGGAGGTGCTTCTCCCCTACCTGCCAGGCTCAGAGTGGGGGAGGTCATGTGCTCAAGGTCACATAGTAGGTTACAGGCAGAGCCAGGACTTGGTACCCACTTCTGCCGACTCCAAGTCCTCTCCCAGCTGTTCAAAAGTCCAGCCTACCAGTGCATGTCAACTCACTAAAGTCTCAGGACTCACAAAGGAGAGACTATTATATCCAATTAACAGATGAGGAAACACTCACAGAGATTAAGTTACTTGCCTACGGTCACAGCTAGTCAGTGTTAACATTTGCTGGGTGAATGAGCACTTTACCAAGTTATCTCAGTTTTCCCAATCCTGAGGCTCAGGACGCTCTGGGCAACTGGCTGCCTGCCCGCCAGCTCTCACCTTCCAGTCCCAGACGTTCAGTACCATGTCATGCTGGTAGCCCATGGACACGATGTGCTTCATATTGGGTGAGAAGGCCACGCAGGCCACACCATACTTGTGGCCCAGCATCTCTGCCACCTGACTTTTCTCCTCCACATCCCAGATGCGCACGGCAGGTCTGTGCCCATTCTGGGGAAGACAGGGCCATTACTGCTGCCGGGCTCTGTACCAGGCAGGGCTAGAGGGGCTGTCAGGGGTGAGTTGCTATTGCCACAGGGTATACCCAAAAGCCACTTCCCCATCTGCCAAGGGGCTTTTCTGACCCAGGAAGGAGCTATTCCAGGGACTAGACACCCAGGCCTGTTGGGGGCAGAAGGAATGGCCCCAAGACCCTTCCCTCCAAGTGCTCAACCGTGATTGTGACTCACCTCCCCCGTCACTATGTACTTCCCATCAGGGGAGAAGGCCACAGCACTCAGAGACTTCCTGGGGAAAAGAAAAGGAGTTGATCACTGGTTCCATGGAGGGTGGGCAGTCAGACCCTGGCCTGGATGTGCTCACAGCACTCTGCCCACTCCTGGCCCCCAAGCCTCGGAAGAGGCCAAGGTGGGGGCTCAAGCAGCTCCCCCAGAGCCCAGCACAGCACACAGGAAATGGGGGCAAAAGCAAAGGCCCCTCCCACCCTCAAACCCCAAACGGGGACCCTCCTTTCTTCCCCCTCTGCAGAGGCGGGCACCCTAAGACCCCACCCACCCTGTAACCAACCCTAGGAAATGGTACAGACCTGGCCTAACTAAAAGGGTGGTGCTGATGGGAGGGCCCTGGCAACATCACGCGAGACAGCCTGCAGCATGTACTCCACTGCACAACACTCAAGGTGTTCTGGAAAACCTATAAACAACCAAAGTGTTTCCCTCTGATACTCCTAGCTAGCCTGCACAAGGACTGAATGACCTCATTTGCACATTTTCTGGCAGCAAGAATCACCATTCCCAGACTGTATAGTGTTTTCCTCTTCCCTCTTACTTTTAAACCTGTTTTTTCCTTTGTTCCTTAACAGTCTAGCCATCACATGAGCTAGTAAATTGGCTAAAGTAAAATGGTAAATGCCTCTAAGTGAGACCTTGACAACCTCATGGAATATTTAGCACCATCGAGTCAACCCTCCGGTGGCTTCCCCATCGCTACTTCCACTACTTAAAGCAACAGGGTGCGCTGCCTACCCAATGTCCACTTGCTCCCTCCTTCCTCGCTGACATAAACCCAATTTTAATTGGGATGGCAGTGTGCCCAGCTACACCACATTTCTCACTTCTCTTGCAGTGACACAGGTATAGCTACATGACTCAGTCTAGCCAATGAGAGATAAACTGATGCACTGCATGGGACTTCCAGAAACGTTCCTCAAAGGGAAACCTTTGCCCTCCTGAAACCAGGACACGACAGTCAAAATTCCATCTTTGGCCAAGAGGTGACCTCAAGAACAGAAGCCTTACAGTAAGTGTGGCAGAACAGAAAGACAGAAGGAGTGGGGTCCCTGGTTCTCACAGAGACTCCAGCCCCCCGCCCCAGCTGCCACCCCCACACTTCTCATGTGCTGAAAGAGCATGCCCTTTGTTTTAAGCCATGCTTGTTGTGGGGCTTCTGTTGTCTACAGCCACCCTAACCTGTGCCTCGCCTCTGGCAAATGCTATATAGGCATCACTGCACTGAGTCCTCTCGCATGCTCTGTGGAGTCAGGACTCTCGGCCAATTTTGCAGATGAGGAGACCTCAACACAGGGAAGTCCCCTGCCCAAGGTTACCAAACCAGACAAGACAGACCCTGACCTCTAGTTCTCAGTCCTGGCTGCACATCAGAATTCCCGGGGGAGCTTTTGAAAAACATTAAAGCCTCACTAAGACTAGTTGAGTGAAAGTTTGGTGAGGAAGAGGATAGTATCTGCACAATCCCAGAGAAGATACTAATCACAAAGGGGAAAGGTGAGGTTTTGAAGTGGAGAAACCCGGCAGATACCAGTCATGGGGGCCTCCTGTTAGGATGCACCAAGAGCACAGCATTCCTCTGAGGTGCTCCTGCCAGACAGCAGAACCTGTCTCTGAGGAAGCTGTCTCTGAGGAAACACCTGAAAAACCCAAATGTTGGGACAGTCTATAAAACCTAGTCTATAATCCTCAAGGGATTATGAAATGTCATGGAAATCAAGAAAAGACAGAGGAGCCACTTCAGGACACTAAAGGAGCTGCTGTAGGGCACTAAAGGGACAACTATGTGTAACATGTGATTCTGGACAGAATCCTTTGGCTATAAAAGACATTTTGGGGAAAAATGGTAAAACTTGAATGGAGTCATCTGAGGAGTAGATGGTAGTGATACAACAATTTTAATTTGCTCATTTTCTTGGGTGTACTGCAGTTTTGAAGGATTATGTTATAATTCTTTTGTAGGAAATACACATTAAAGTATTTAGAGATAGAGGGGCACCATGCCTGCAACTTACTCTCAAACAGTTCAGAAAAAAATTACTGTGTATACAGACAGAGGATGCTAAAGCAAATGTGGTAAAATGTTATAATTTAGAAAATATGAGTGAAAGATATATAGGTGTTCTTTGTACTATTCTTTTAAGTCTGCAATTATTTCAGTATAAAAACTTTAAAAATTGCCAATGCCCAGGTCTCCCCCCAACTAATTCAAGCCTTCTCTAGCGTGAGGCCCAGGGATCAGGTGGCTGACAGGTGAGGGTGCGGCCACATCACCTCCTCAGACAGAGCCACTGGTGCTGAGGGTAGACACCTCCATGCCATCCACTGCGGATCGGGGGCATCCACTCCACTGCCTACAGGCATTAGAGAAGCAACACAGACGATAGGAACTGGGGTCTGCCGAAGCCACTAAGCTCCAGCCCATCACTGCCACAGGGGAACGTGGGCCCCAGACACCAGAATTTCTCACTTTTCCAAAATGAGAGGGATGTTTGGAATTTTGTGTAAAAAAAACTTTAAATGTTGCCGACTAATTCCAATCTTTGAAACACATTATGTCAGGCAAGTCTGTGGGCCTCTGGTTTGCAACCATGGCCTTACAAACACTCACAACTGGAGGCAGCTATTTTGTTTCCAAAGGAGGCCATGGCTTGGAAAGAAGTATTTCACCTCAGATTACATGTCAATAAACACTTGAGCTGGGACTAGAAGCCAGCTCCACCCTCAGTGACAGAACCCACAGTTAGGAGCCAACCGTCCAAAAAGCCACTTTCAAGAGGGAATCTATTTCTGCCACATAACAAGGACCCCATAGCTTGAGGACCATATCTTAGGGACTGTAAGGGAAGGAGAAAACCCACACCTATCCATCCACTGGAGAACAAGGAGCTGAGCTTGAGCTATGCCAACGAGGGACATGTGGTGCCTCTCAAAGGTCATAACCCTGTTGGGGTCATATTCCCAGGGTGACACAGTGATCAATCAGCCCCAAGGTACAAGGTACCAACCTCGGCCCACTCAGGGCCAAGGGCTTTCCCCAGTAAACTCGCAGCTAAAGGGATCTTTCTAAAACCCAAATCACATTCACTCATTCATTCATGAAATAGTAAGTACCATCAATGGGCCAGACACTGCTCTCAAGTGCTAAGGACAGAAATGAACTGAGAGAAAAAGTCCCTGCCCTTGGAGGGCTCACACTGTGGAAGGGAGACACACAGCGAGGATATTAGATAGCACATCATTTAAAGGAGTAAATTTTATGGAGAAAAGTAAAGCAGGAAAGGGAGATAGAGCGTGCTCGTGGGCTGGGGTGTGGAAAGCACATCCCTGGCCTGCAAATGCCCGAGTGGCTTCTCTTTGTACTCAGTATGCTACCCAACCCCTTCCCGAGGCCCATGTGATGTGGCTTCTGCCTGTTCATGTCACCTCACCTGCTCCCCTATTCCTGGCACTCAGAGCCCTGGCTGCTCCTGAGATTCTGAACCACTGCAGGGCCTTCTCCCCTGCTGCTGCCCCCGTCCCTGGAGCGCCCTCCCTGCACCTTCTCACAGGTCACCCTCTTACTTCCTTCAGGTCTCAGAGTCAGAAGGCCTTCCCTGAGCCCTCTGACAGGGCTTTCCCATTCTCTGCCCATGACCTGCCACCATTCCCTCTACAGCACTGAGCATGATGAGCCAGGAATCTGCTGACCCGTTTACTGTCTGTCTCTTCCTCTGGGCTGTCACTCTTCTCTGTTCACTGCTATGTCCTCAACACCTGGAACAGCACCTAGCATGGAGCAGACACTTGGTGAATGCCGCTAAACCAATAGGTGGGTGACTAAGTGAGTAACCGACCCATGAGTATCTCCTGGCATGGGGGGAGAGGGCTGTGCCAAGACTCTGGTCCCACCCCAAACCCATGCCCAGGCCCCAGCCTACCTGGCAGTATTGAAGATGTGCTGCTGCTTGTTCTCCTTGGGGTTCAAAATCACCACCACACAGCTGGGGAGAAAGAGGAAAATGTGCCTCAGCTGGAGGGAGCATTGGGATCCAGAGATGATTCTATCCCCAACTGCAAAGCCCACATATAAACAAGCCCCCTCTGAACAGAAGAGTCTCTCTGGTCTCCTCCTCCAGGTGTTTATGCTGAGAACACTAGAGCACTTACCATTATTAATATGCTCTTAAACAAAGGTGGTCTAACTGAAAAAATAATAATAATGGTCTTAAACACAAATCAACACTTCTGCCATGGTAACTATTCTGTCCAGCCCTAGGCTAATAAAGACCTTCTGTGCACAATCTCTTTAAATCCTCACACCTGCCTGGTGAGGTCAGGACTCTTTAGGCCCATTCTACAGATGAGGAAACTGAAAGCCTGAGGGGGAAGTCCTTTGCACAGTGTCACGCTACATCAGTATTTGTGGAATAAACAGCTGCAGGGTCCCCTTCGGTCCTCTCAACTGCCCAAGCAGAGGATATCACCAGTTCTGTTTTATAGAGAGAGAAGCAGAGGCTAAGAAGGAGGGACACATGGTAGAGCTGGGATGCAAATCCAGGTTACACCACCCACCTGTAGTCACAATTAAGGCTTTCATAGCACTCAGTGCATCCCAGAGACTATTCTAGACACAGATGGGCCCGTGGAATCCTCTCCAGAGCCCTCAGAGTAGGTAGCATTATCCACATTCTACAGACGGAAGAGCCAAGGTCGGGAGAGATTCACTGATGACCTTAGGCTCCAAATTCCCCAGCAATGATTAAGTCCAAGGCCCACTCATTTGCTTACCCTGCCAGGTAGGCCACATGGCCTGTGCCAGGGTCACAGGTTAGGCCACTGCTGTTCTGGGCTGTGATGCCAAGCACCTTCTCGAGTGACACCTGCAAAGAAAAGGCCCAAGTCACAAGCACCTGCCCCAGTAGGCCCCACAGAGCACAGCCACCTCAGCTACCCATTCAGAACCTACTGCATTCAGCACACACTCATCGAGCTTCTGTAGTCACGCTACCTACCAGCAGCTAACACTCGTTTTTCCCAACATTCCTTTGACAAATACATGGGGCTAGGAGAAGGGCAGAGGTGTGAGGAAGACAGAAAACTCCCTGCCCTCCTGGAGCTCACATTCTGCTGGTGATGGAGGTGGAGGACACAGAAAGCAGAACAAATATGTAAAATAGATGTCGGGTGATGATAGGAGCAATAGAGAAAAATAAAGCAGGGAAGGAGATTGGGAGTGCCAGGGAAGGGGGAGAGTGACACAGTGAGGAAAGTGACCTCTTAATAAGTTTCTAAGTACTTTTATATGGACGGAAGATTTGAATCCCTTCAACAAGCCAAGGAAGAAGGCTCTATCACACCTTTATTTTAGAGATGAGGACACTGATGCCCAAGATCCTACACCTGGGAGTGGCAAGGTTGGGCTATAAACCCAGGCTCCAAAGCCAGCACTTTGAGCCCTGCACGGGAAGCATGGTAGTGGGCAAAAGGAGACACTGTTTGCTCATCAAATTCACAGTCCAGAGGTTCTAGAGGTTTCAACAATTAAACAAGTCAATAATCACATTTAAAACTTAAACAATTCTCAAAACAAAATAAGTTAAAGTGGCCAGACATCATCATGGTTGATTCATCAATTTATACAGAGTATGGACTAACAGAATTGTGTTATTTTCATATCTTGAATAGACTAGTTTCTATTTATTAAGAATAAACCATTCTCAAGCAAATCCTTGGTGTCAAAATTGAAAGGCAAACATGGATAATAATAGCTAACATTTATTGAGGATTTACCGGAATCCAGGTACGGTTTAAGTACCTATAACCATATTAACTTAATGCTCACAATAATCCTATAATATAGTCACTATCATCCTATAATATAGTCACTATCATCCTATAATATAGTCACTATCATCATCATCACCCCCATTTCACAGATGAAGGACGAGATGCCCAGAGGAGTTACCACCCAGAAAGGAGCCAGGATTCTAACACAGACAACCAAGCAATGGCTCTCATGTTATCTATTGAGCAGCATTACTAGGATTTAGTATAACTGGTTATTTTTAGACCACATCTTTTGCAAGTCAGATGAACTCTGTGTTGCCAAACAAGAAACAAAAATAAATAGCATTATGCAACATACATAATAACAGTATTAGCTGAGTACTTGCCATGTGCCAGGTGTTGTTCTAAGTGATTAGCTACATGAGCTCATTTAATTCTCACAAATACCCTATGAAAGGTTTCTACATCATTATTCCTATTTCATAGGCAAGGAAACTGAGGCACAGAAAAGTTCATAGCTTGCTAGGAAGAACAGAATTAAGGTTTAAGCTTAGGCAGTCTGTGTTCTTAAGCATCTTGCTATATTACTTACACTGCCTCTCTGAATTTCCTGTAGTTATTCCCCTACATATATAGTTTAAGAGTTCACAAGGCACTTACAGGAACATACAAGAAAAGGGCTATGAAGTATAGGGCACTGGGTGTCTGCTTTGGAGTGGGGTTCAAAAAGGTCTTTCGGGGTAGGGATACTCAGGCTGAGACTTGAGGGACGCAGGAGCCAGCCAGGTAGAGACTGTCGCAAAAAGCCCAAGCAGAGGACGTACCAAACACAAAGGCGGAAGCAGAAAAGAACTTGGAGCCTCAGGAAAACAGAAAGCAGGCCAGTGTGACTGAACCTCGGTGAGAGGGAGGCCATGAGCGGTACAGCCAGAGGGGTGGGCAGGGGCCACTTAAATCCCTGCAGCCAGGAGTGGGTGAACGAATCAGAGCGCAGCAGGGAGAAGGAAACCACAGAGCACGAACAAAGATCCACTAGCAGCTACCATGTATCCACCCTCTATCTGGATTCTGTGCCAAAATGGTCACGGTCAAAATTTCACCTCCCTGCAACACGATGTTACTGTTACATTCATTTTACAAAAAGAGACTTTGTACCTAGAGAGTTGATGAACAATTTTTTTAGATTGCTGCCAGGCTAATGGAATGCCTGTCTACCCACTCTAAAATCATTTCCTTCTGTGTTTCTGTGTCTCAGGATTTACGGAATTGTTCTGTATGCCCTCCTCCCCAGGCTGCTGAGATTTTACAAATAATTTCTCACATCCTCTCCATAGTTTTGAGTGCTAACATGGACTAAGAATCCCACGTTGGTGAGGGAAGAGGACAGAGACAGGGTGTGTGAGGAGGTCAGACAGACCCGAGGAAGAGCTGGGGCGGAAAGTACTCTGGACTGAACCCAGGTAGAGACCTTAAAGATCCAGCGGGGGCCAGGTCAACAAAAGTGAAAGGGCGCAGAGAGATCTCTAAAGGTTACCGAACCGGGCTTAAGTTACTGCGAGCCTAGGCTGTGATTTGCAGAAGCATAACGCCTCGGGAGAGGTGGGAACCCGGGAGGAACCCCGGGAAAGCTCCAATGCAGAGGGTGGGGCGGGGAATGATGCGCAGGACTAAAGAGAGGAGACGGAAAGTGGGCGGGGCGTCGACCGAGTGGGCGGGGCTTAGGAGATGAGGAGGGCCACGGAGTAAGCTGAGGGGAAGAGCCGGGGACCGGTAGGCAGAGCCAGAGATTTTCAGACGGGACCAGGGGCGGGCCAGGGAAGCCTGGAACCGGAGTAGGCATGGCGAGCTGCTCCTCACCCTGTTGTGCACCGTGTCCTCGGGCGCCGCCGGGAGTCGCGTCCGCCGCCGGAGGCAGAGCGGTGGCGCGGGGGGCGGGGAGGGCTGGCCCCTCCGCGCTGGAACCCCCGCCGTGACAGAAGAAAGCTTCTCAACCGCATCGCTCCGCGCATAGCCCCCGGGCCCCAGGGCCGCCATCGCCGCGCCAGAGCCGGGCGGCCGTTACACTCCTTAACCGCCGCCGCCGCCACGACCCACTCAAATAGCGAACAGCCGCGGGAAAGCCGGCGCCGCCGCCCATTGGACGCGGCGGGCCGCCGGTCTGGCCAATCCCAAGGCTGCCGGGCGGCACTTACGACCAATGGAGGCTAAGAGGCGGAGCGGAGCGTCTGGCAGGGCGGAGCCACAGCCAGTCCTCTGGATGCTTAATCGAGCCTCGCGGGGTTTGTCATGCAGTCTGCGTTTTCGTCATTCATTAAAGATACAGGCTCTAACTTTTACTAGGCCAAAGCCACACCGCACCGTTTGCTGTCACCCAGGGAGGCTGTCCGCGCTGTGGCAGTCGCCCGGATGTAAGCATAGGGTGGAGCCGAAAGAGACTGGCAGGCCGGTCGATTTGGTGGGTGAAGGCTCAGAAACGCCGTGACGCCACCTCCGCCCCAGCACGTAATGAAGATCAGGGGTGGCAAGGGTAGGCTTTGCGTAGACTTAGCGTCCCAGCTGGTTCCCGTTCGCCACGTGACAAGGGCGTAGCTGTGATTACGCACAGAGGTGCCTAGTACGCAGGCGCGCTCAACTTTCCCCCCCGACACGTGACGCTGCACTGAGGACGTCACGTGAAGCAGGCAGAGCGCACGCGGGCGGGGCAGGGCGCGGAGGCGCTCAGCGAGGACCCGAGTGCACCCGCTGACCAGGCAAAACTCCGCCGGGCGGGACAGCCATGCCCAAGTACTGCAGGGCTCCGAACTGCTCCAACACCGCCGGCCGACTGGGCGCGGACAACCGCCCCGTGAGCTTCTACAAGTGAGCGCCAGCGCGGGGCGGGGCTTGAAGGGGGCGGGGCCTTAGAAGGGGCGGGGCCCGAGGAAAATATATTCATTTAAGCTGTGCCTTGCACCTGGTCTGACTTGAGGGCGTTAGGAAGTAGTGAAGTTAGAAAAGGTGAGGAGACGGTATTCTCAGCAGTGAATACTGCGCAGGCAAAGGTGCACATGTGTGAAACGGCAGGGGTAGATGATTAACTACAGGCAGTGGACAGAGCGTGCAGAAGAGGTGGGAGGGATCTGTAGGGAGAAGTAAGGGTGGTCCTGCAACTGCCCGCTCCCCATCTCCTCGAACTGGAGCCATCTCACACTCAAGACATCCGAAACTGAGCTTCTGATCTTGTCTCCCCCCAACACCTTCCACAGCCTTTCCTATCCTAGTTAATAGCTTACTCCATCCTTCCTTTTGCTCAGGCTGAAAACCTTAGAGTCATCCTTACCTCTTCTCTTTCCTCACGCTTAGGAAAGTCAGAATTACCTTGGACTGTAAAAAACCTGCCCTCCTGTTTATCTGGCTGAAATGACAGACACAGGAAAAGCCAGCTGCAGAACTAATAAGAAAAAATATTTCCCTTAGGGACATGCTGCAGATGTAAAGTGGCAGAACTCCTACTTTGAGTGACTACTGCTTTCTCACTCACTGGGAAACTTTTCTTGTCTAAAATCAGAGACTGTCACAAACTTTGCTGTTTGAAATTAGTACGAATGAAGCATCTCACTTTCACCTGGAGGAGCTAAGTCACTTTGATACAGAAAAGCATCCTTCATTAACAGCCCAGGTTGTGAGCTTCAGGTAAGGGGTTTTGGGACACAATATTCCACACCTATCTAAACTTTTTTTTTTTTTAAATCTAAACTTTTATTGCTTCCAAGAAGATAGGACCCTGGGCCAACTTAGCAATCCAGACCTGATATCGATCCCTTTACACACAGTGATTTGATTTTGCTTTGAGCTGATCTAAACACTGTTTCATTTACATTTCACCTTAATTTCACCCTTCCCCCATACCAAATAACAACTCTATCTTTTGCTTTGTTTAGTGAGTCTCCCCATGGTGTGTCTGGTGTACAGACTCCCTCATTGCCATGATAAACACTTCTATTGGTCTACAGGTTTGTCCCTGGTGATCTTAACCAAAGTGAGCCAGGACACATGCCTCATCCAGTCCATCAGCAAATCCTGTTCTCCCTGTAAAATCTATCCAGAATTTGATCGTTTGTAACTCCCTCCTCTGTCCCCACCCTTAATTCTCCCTGTCTACCTCCTGCTTTTTTTTCCCCTGTAACACATCACTATCTGGCATATCACATATTTGATGTATTCATTCATTGTCTCCTCCACTAGAATGTCAGTTCCATGAAGCCAGGGAATTTTGTCTCTCTTGTTTTCCATTGTGTCCCCAGCCTCTAGAACAGTGCCTGGCACATAGTGGGCGCTCAATAAATATTTGTTGGGTGGATTCAGCAAATACATTTCAGATGGGCTCTTCAGGAAACCCAGTAGTCCATGCCCCAGCTATCCTTTGAGGGGCCCTGGTGCAGGCCAGAAGGAGTGCAGAGGAGTCTTTAAGCCTACATCAGGGTGTCCAGACTTGCTTATTACTTTTAGTTTTATTTTTCTTAGAGACAGTGTCTTGCTCTGTCACCCTAGGCTGGAGTGCAGTGCCACATCATAGGATCATAGCTCACTGCAGCCTTGAACTCTTGGGGTCAAGTGATCCTCCTGCCTCAGCCTCCTGTGTAGCTAGGACTACAGGCATGTGCCAGGCCGTTCCCCATACAGGCTAGCCCATTCCACCTCAGGCCTACCCCTGAGTCACTCTTGCAGAAGCCACTTAGCTAAGAGCTGAGGAACAGTTTCCAAAAGAGATTCAAGAGAAGGTATGGATGCCAGGTAGGAAATAAGGTGAAACATGTTGAGGGATGTGGCTGCCAGGAAATAACTTGAGAGGCGGAGCCAAAGGGAACATTCATTAGCTCTGTGTTAGGCCCTTTCAAGGACAAGTGGTAGTCACCTCTAATGGGGGGCCTATCAGTTGGGAATTGCATCTGTCAGTGCAGAGGCTGTCAGACCAGCACTGGTATGGCAGCTCCATGTCATCAGAGATGAATGTCCTTTCTTTCCGCTCCATCATCCTTAGCACGTGGCTTCCATCCAAGATGGCAGCCACCCCAGCCACCATGCCCTGCCACTCCTAGTAGGAAGAAAAGGGAAGGGAGGAAGAGCAAAAAGGATTCGACTCTAAACTGAGTCAGCTTCCTTTACGAGGCCTTCCCGGAAACCCCATGCAATGGCAACTTCATCGTTGGTCACCCCTAATTGCAAAAGAGGCTGGGAAATGTGGTCTTTTAGCTAGACATTTAGCCACCCTGAAGAAATTTTGAGTTATGTTGGTAAGGAAGAAAAGAAGCACTTCTAGCAGTGTACGCCACTCCATGCTCTAGATAAGATGACAGCAAGACTTGTAATAGTCTATTAAAAGGAGAACATTTGCTGTCTACTTAAGGTAAGTTTGTAGAGAGGGATATTGCCCATTTCAGCTGCTGCTATCCAGAGGAACAAGGGAGTAAGACCAATTAAGGAGAGGCTTCTTACGATATTCACTTTCTTCCTTTGCCCTTTGAGCTACTCTGATTCCATTTGAGCAGCCCTTCCCATTAAAGACACCATCCCAGAAGTCCCACACAACACTAAAGCATTCGTTGGCCAGAACTTAGTCAGATGGCTCCATCTAGTTGCAAAGGAGCCTGGAAAATACAGTCTTTTAGCAGGACACATTATGGCTTCACATAAAGTTTGTTAGTAAGGAAAAAGAGGAGAGTGGATCTAGAGCGATTGGCAGTCTCCGCCAGGGAGGGGTGAAGATGGAGGGATCTCATGTTTGTGTCCAGGAAGAATGGGCCTGGTGAGAACATTTGGATCCCAGATGGAGGCTGAAGGGACTGCAGCATCCAGACTCCCTGGCTGTGTGCCCTGAGGTTCTGTTCTTTGGGTGCCACAACGCTTCTCTGAGTCAGCCCTTCTGTCCTCTTTCACCGGCTGCTCCCCTCACCCCCCATCTGCCTTTAGTCTGAGAAGTCTTGTTCCCCCCAATCTCTGTCCATCCCATCCACTTCCTCCCTACTGGTAGCCTCTCTGGTTTTATTTTGTTTCTTCTTTCTTTTTTGTAGAGATGAAGTCTGGCTATGTTGTCCAGGCTGGTCTCAAACTCCTGGACTAAAGTGATCCACCTGCTTCAGCCTCTCAAAGTGCTGGAATTACAGGCATGAGCCACCACAGCCAGCCCACCTCTTTAGTTTCTAATGTATCCTTCCCATGGATACATTACATTTGCAAATGTAAGCAAATTTGAATATATATTCTTATTTCTCCCTTTAGTACAGTATTAGTTTCCTGTGGCTGGTATAACAAACTTGGTAGCTTAAAAGAAGAGAAATTATTCTTTCAGAGTTCTGGAGGCCTCAAGTCCAAATCAGCTTTGCTGGGCAAAATGAAGGTGTTGGCCAGGCTGTAATTCTTTGGAGGTTCTAGGGGACAGTCTGTTCCTTGCCTCTTCCAGTTTCTGGCGGCTATAGGCATTCCTTGGCTGTGGCCACATCTCTCCAATCTCTGCAGTCACATTGCCTTTTCTTTGGCTATAGTTATATCTCCTCCTCCCTCTTATAAAGATACTTGTGATGGCATTTGGGGCCAACCCGATGATTCAGGGTAATTCCTCATCCCATCCCAAGATCCTTAACTTGAGCATATCTTTTGTCATGTAAGCTAATATTCACAGTTTCCAGGGATTAGGACATGGCTATTTGGGGGAGGAGGGTTATTCAGCCACTTCAATGACTAAAAGCTGATATACTCTATTTGGAACTGTGCATTTTTCTCATGCTAAGTGCCTGGCAACAGCATGTCAGTTCATAGAATGCCTCCACATTCTGCTTGATAGCTGCCTCGTATTCTTTCCTGTGGACATGCCTGGAGTTTATTTACCCTGTCTCCTGTAGGCAGTATTGTCCCAGATCCTCTTAACACTCATCACACTTCGTTTTCAACAGAGGGACAGCAGGCCTCAGGCTCATGGCTCTCATCAGGTCAAGGTATCCAGTGTTTTTATGGTTAACTCCCATTTATGGTTTTCCATTTTCAATTGTGGTGTAAAGTTTCTCTTGTCAGTATCTTTGTTTAATACTTAAAAGTTGGTTAATTTTAAGAAAAATGCTAAGTAAATAATGTCACTGATATGGAAAACATTGTGAAGATGGGATGTGCATGACTGACTGACTGTTAGTTATGTAATGCTACATGACAAACTGTCCCACAATTTAACAGCTTAAAATAAACATTTACTGTCTCACAGTTCTGGCAGCTGCTACAGGACAGATTAGCCAGAACTTGATCGTATGGTCACCCCTGGCTGCAAATGAGGCTGGAAAATGAGGTCTTTATTGTGGACAGCTTTGAACCCAGGTCTACAAACAGAGTGTATTGCTAAGAGGGCAAGAACAGACATTGGGGACAGGTGGCACCAGGAAATACTTAGGAGCAGTGGGGCACCTTTAGAGGGTGCCTCATCAGGTAATTCCCACCCACTCCCACTGAGAAAGCTTTTATTAATATTTAGCTCATTTTTTAACTTTATAAAAAATTCTTTTTAATTACGGTAAAATACATATAAAATCAACCATATGAACCATTCTTAAGTGTTCAGTGTACATTGTTAAGCAACCAGTCTCCAGGATATTTTCATCTTGTACAACTGAAACGCTACCATCATTGAACAAATCCCTACTTCCCCCTCCCCAGCTCTTGGTAACTGCCATTCCACTTTTCATCCCTATAAATTTGACTACTCTATCTCATATAAGTGGAATCATCAGTATTTGTCTCTTTGTGACTGGCTTATTTTACTTCCCATAATGTCAACCACAGTTCATCCATGTTGTCACGAGTCAATTTCTTTTTGAGAATAATATTCCATGGTATGTATATGCTACATTTTGCTTATTCATCATCTGTGAACAGACATTTCCACTTTGGGGCAGTTATAAAATATGCTGCTATAAATATGAGTGTCCTGGTATCTCTTCAAGACCCTGCTTTCAATTCTTTTGGGTATATTGGAATTGTTGGATCATATGGTAATTCTATTTTTCATTTTTTTGAGGAACTGCCATATTGTTTTCCATAGTGGCTGTACCGTTTTACTTTCCCAAGAGTGCACAAGGGTTCCAGTTTCTCCACATTCTCATGCAGGCTTGTGATTTTGTTTTCTTTTTTAATAGTAGCAATTCTGATATTCATAAGGTAATATTTTATCACAGTTTTGATTTATATTTCCCTAATGATTAATGATGTTAAATATCTTTTCATCTGCTTGTTGGCCATTTGTCTATCTTCTTTAAAGAAATGTCTGTTCAGGTCCTTTGCCCATTTTTGAACCTGGTTATTTGTTTTTTATTGCTGTGAGTCGTTTAAAAGCTTTTTAATGGGTATTTTCAAACATACACAAAAATAGATTTGCATAGTGAATCTTCAGGTATCTAACACTCAGTTTCACCATTCTTTTTCATTTTGTCAATATTTTTCACCAACCCCATCCATACCTGTAAGCTTTTTGTCCTGTAGTATTTTAAAGTAAATTCAAGCTAGGCACAGTGGCTCATGTCTGTAATCCCAGCACTTTGGGAGGCCGAGGCAAGAGAGTTGCTTGAGGCCAGGAGTTCTCTAACTCTAACCTCATCTCTACAAAAAATAGAAAAATTAGCCAAGTGTGGTGGTGCACACCTGTAGTTCCAGCTACTCAGAAGGCTGAGATTGTAGTGAGCTATCATGACACCACTGCTTTTTGTCCCTGGTGCTTGAATGAGACCCTGTCTCAAAAATAAATAAATAAAATAAATCCTACATATCAGGTATTTTATCCATAAATATTTCAGAAAGTTTTCCTAATAGAAGACTATTTTAGAAGTATAAACCAGCAAAATTATTGCACCTAGCAAAATCAATTTCTTATAATTATCTAATACCCAGTCATGCTTAGTTTTCCCCAGTTTTAAAATATCTTTTTACTGAACCGTTTGTTGTAGGCAAGGTCCACATCTTGCCTTTGGGTTGATGTTTCTTAATCTCTCTTTATAACACCCCTACTACCCTCAGCGTCTGCATTATATGGTTGCGGAAGAAACGTTTTCACTTGACAGTATGATCTCCCACATTCTAGAAGTCTGATTTTATAAATTGCTCCTTCAGGTTCATGTGGAGGAACAAACTAGGGGGCTGAGGTGTGGGCAGGAAGACCAGGAAGGAGGCTACTGCCCAAGCCCAGCATGGGGAAGAAGAAGGCTGGATTAGGGGGGCAGTGGAGGAGGGAGAGGTGGGCTGATGCTGGGGTTTAAAAGGTGGAGCGAGGCCGGGCGCTGTGGCTCACGCCTGTAATCCTAGCTCTTGGGAGGCCGAGGCGGGCGGATTGCTCAAGGTCAGGAGTTCAAAACCAGCCTGAGCAAGAGCGAGACCCCGTCTCTACTATAAACAGAAAGAAATTAATTGGCCAACTGATATATATATATATAAAAAATTAGCCGGGCATAGTGGCACATGCCTGTAGTCCCAGCTACTCGGGAGGCTGAGGCAGAAGGATCACTCGAGCCCAGGAGTTTGAGGTTGCTGTGAGCTAGGCTGACGCCATGGCACTCACTCTAGCCTGGACAACAAAGTGAGACTCTGTCTCAAAAAAAAAAAAAAAAAAAAAAAAAAAAAAAAAGTGGAGCGGAAGGATGAGTTGTGGGGAAGAGGTAGAGAAAGCCTGGGTGGGAGGCAGGGCCCAGGGGAGACACAGGCTTGGAGCCCAGGGACTCCAGGTGTGGATGTCCTTAGACAGGGCTGTGTCTGGACCTGGTGGCACTGACCCCGCCACCCACCTCCCGTGCAGGTTCCCACTGAAGGACGGCCCCCGGCTGCAGGCCTGGCTGCGGTGCATGGGCCGCGAGCACTGGGTGCCCAGCTGTCACCAGCACCTGTGCAGCGAGCACTTCACGCCCTCCTGCTTCCAGTGGCGCTGGGGCGTGCGCTACCTGCGGCCGGATGCGGTGCCCTCCATCTTCTCCCGGGCGCCGCCTGCCAAGGTGAGCGCCCGAGCGCCGGGAGGGCCTACTGCTGGGTCTAATCCCCAGCTCGCCCCTCCTACGGGAAGTCCCTCTTTGAGTCTGACCCTCAGCCCTCCCCTCCGGACCTTATCTGACGAGGTCCCCCTTGGAGACTGGCGCCCTCCCTCCCCGCCTTTACCTCTGAGGAGCTCCCCCTTAGAATCCGGCCCTGATGCCCCCCTCCCCATCCCATGCTTGTCTTCCAGAGCCAGCGGGGTACCCGAAGCACCAAGAAGCGGGTTGTGCCGCCACCTCCTCCGCAGGAGGCTACGCCCCAGCCCCCAAGCCACGCCATCCCTGCCTCCGGCCCAGTGCACTTAGTGGTGCTGGGCCCTGCAGCGGGGTCCCCCGAGGCTGCGGCCACCGTGCTCCTGTCCCCCACTCCCGCTTCGCCCACTCTCGCGGGGCCACGGCCTGACGTCCCCGCCCAGCAGGCCGGGGCCGGGCTGGGCGCGGCGCTAGGAGCGCTGCAGCGGCGGGTGCGGAGGCTGCAGCGGCGCCACCGGCGGCACCAGGCGCAGCTGCAGGCGCTGGAACAGCTGGCGCAGCAGCTGCTGGCGCGGGCGCGCAGGGGCCTGCAGCGCGCGGTGAGTGCCCGCCCGTCCAGGCAGCGCCGCCAGCGGCCTGCCCAGCCCACGCAGTTTTCATTTAAACTAGGCTCCAATATTTAAAAAGCAGAGCATTTTATCCATGTTTCCAAATATCTTGGGAAAAAAAAATCAATCTGGCAATGCCAAGCGTCTATTGGTTGGAGCTGAGTTATGCCCGCTCCATTTATTAATAGTTATATTTGAGGAGGTCTTACTCTCTGCCAGACAAAAGAGTTAATAACATGATCTTGATACTGCTGTGGTCTCCATTTTCCAGATGAAAAGACTGAGGCACAGAGTGGCCCAGCAACTTGCCCAAAGTCAGGCAGCCAATCATTTGCAGAGCCTGGGTTCAAAACTAAGGGTCTGGCAGAGGCAGCCGGTGTCCTCCTCTTGGAGAGTTCCCTGCCCAGCCCGTATAGAGCTTGAGTTTGCCACCCCTGTATTGGTGTCTCTCGGGCCCTGTCTAAAGCCCCTTTGCACCTATATTTTACTGCTGGGTCTTTGGGTGGGAAGGGGTGTTGAGGAGGGGTGTCTTTGAAAATCAAAGTTTGAGCAAGCCTTTCCCCTGCTTAAAACCCCAGGGCCAAGCCTGAGGTCCTCAGCCTAGCAGCCCTGGCCCTCAGAGCTCTGGATGCTAGATTCATTGGAGGGGCTTCAGAAGGAGCCCCCTCAGCACCTCTGTCGTTAAGGTGTCTCAAATTGACAGCCAGTGGGTTGGACATGACCCATAGACATGATTTATTCGGCCTCAGCAATGCTTTAAAATAATTTTTGATCTTTCCAGAAGGCTCAGCAGATGTAGCAGGATGGGGTTCAGGTTCCCATGTAACAGCAGTCAGCTGGAGCTGCAATGGGGGCTTTGGGTTTGAGACTGTGGCACAGAGGGACAGTGGGGCAGGGACAGAGCTCAGACTCAGGCCTGGGGCTGTTCATGGAGCCTGCCAGGGCCCCCCGGGCTGACAGTGTCTCTCTCTGCCTCCCTTTCCCCCATTCAACCCGTCTTCTCCTCATCCATCCTGTTTCTCCATCTCCCCCTCATCGTTCTGTCCTCACACCTGCTTCCCCATCTCCCTATGTCTCTTTTCATCTGCATCTTTCTGTGTCCCCATATCTATGGCCCCGTCTCTCCACATCTGTCTGTCTCCCTGTGTCTCTGTCCCCGCACATTTCTCTTCCTGTTGCCCCGTACTTCTTTCTTCTCTCATGAATGTCTCTCTGGCTCTCACATCTGCTTCCTGGTCTGCTCACATCTCTGTTTCCGGACACCCCCTTCCCACCCGGGCCTCCCCGTTCCTCACCATTTATTTCCGTCTCTCTCCCCCCTCACTTCCTCGTGTTCCCCATCTCCACCACCTTGTTGCGTGGGATGGGCCAGCTCCCCGGACCTGAGGAATCCCAAACCTTCACCGTCATCTGTGGAGGGCCTGGCATAGCTGTGGTCCTTGCCCAAGGCCCTGCCCCTCCACCAGTGGATGCCAAGCCTGAGCTCCTGGACACTCGGACCCCCAGTGCATAAGGATCTGGACAGATACTGTCAAGGGACAGAAGAAACAAGATGGAAGAAGAGAGAGTCGTCACACACAGGCTTGGCCCAGCCCCGCCGTCCATACCTGGGGAGCAGCAATGCCTCCCTCAAAGGTCTGGGTTCCATGACCCTCCCTCCTGGGGACCCCTTGAACCTTAGGGGTGACCTGGGCCCAAGTCCTCCATCAGCCCCCAGTTCCCTGGGTACCAGGCCTCTGCCACCCCTAGCTCAAATCTTCGCATCAGTAAAACACCTCAGGGCAGAACGCGGGTCGGTTACTTGGGGAGGGTTGTACCTGGTTTCTGAAGAGCCCCTCACACCTTTCGCCAAGGCTGGTGCTGAGCTGAGGGTACCGTGGTGACCACAGCTGAACACCGTCCCTGCCCTCCTGGTGCTCACCTTCTACCCGAGTAGGAGATGAACTAGTAAACTAATAAACGAGAATTTCAGACTGTGATAAGTGTTATAAAGACTGAATAAAAGTGTAATTGAGAGGAGGGGTGGGAGAGGGCTCTCTAAGGGGATGTTCCAGCAGAGACCTGGGATGATGCCGAGGACCTGGCCGGAAGGCATATGGGCCAGTGTTGCAAGAAAAGAATAGCTCCTGCAGAGGGCCTGGCATCCAGGGGGTGTCGGAAGGCAGTGTTGCTGTGGAGAAAACCACAGCAGGGACGGGACTGAGGGGGTAGGGGTGGGGATGGGGGCAGGGGTGCCATTTTAGATGGGCAGAGCAGAGATGTCACTGAAAAGGCACCAATAAGTAAAATCCTGAAAGAGGGGAGAGAAGGAACCATGTAGGTATCTGGGAGAAGAGCATTCGAGGCAGAAGGAACAGCCAATGCAAAGGTCCTCGGGTAAAGGGGAAAGAGGCCAGTATGACTGGAGTGGAGTGAACAAAACGGACAGCAAGAAGGGGTGACCATGGAGAGATGGCAGGGGCAAGTTCCCAAAGGGCCTCGTGCGTGGGCCTTGGCTTTTGCCTGGAGCGAGGTAGAGCAAGCAGATGCCCCTGAGTTGGGGGGGAGTGGGGGAGGGGTCTGGTGACATTGACAAGTGTCATTAGGTCCCTGTGGCTGCATGCAGGGAGCAGACTGGGGGGTCAGGGAGGGGGACAGGGAAGAGGCTGCTGCCATGGTCTAGCTGGGAGAAGATGGAAGATGGACCAGGATGAGGGCCTGGCATGGGGGTAAGGATGAAATTCTGGAAATATTTTGGAGATGGACCTACTGGGCCTGTCCATTAGAAGGATGCGGGGAGGAAGGCAAAGTCACCCAGCCCTGTCCAGGCTGGGATGACTCTGGCCAAGCCAGGACGATGGCGCCAGGGCCCTGGGCTGGCCCCAGGAAGCCTTCCTGGGGGAGATAGGTGTCCTGGCAGGGTTGGAAAGGTCCGTGGGCAGATCTGTACCCTAGACACTGCCACAGCGGTGTAGCATCGTCACTAAGAACCAGACTCTACAGGCTGCCGGGTTTCAAATTTTAGCTCTGTCACCCACTTGCTGTGTACCCTTGGGCAAGCAGCATAACCTCTCTGGGCCCACGTAAGCATGTGAGCACTTGCATGATGATGGTGAGGATGACGAGGACGATGATAGGATTCTCTACAAAGTCACCCTCTGAGACACCCCTCATACAGGGCGCGCGTGGAGAAGGTGTCAGGTGTGAGGACCAGAGAGAGAACACCCATCACCACCGCGCACTGACCGCCGCCCTAACTGGCCGGGGCAGCAGGCCTGGGGCGGGCTCTGGCACCGCGGGGACGGAGGAAAAGATGTGCCCGCGTTCCCACCCCTCCCTCTTTGCCCTTGTCTCCGCTTCGTCTCTCTCCTTCTGTCGCCTCGTCGCGCATCCTTCCCCACGGCCATCTCTTCTTCCTCCCGGTCCCGAGTCTGTCCCCTTCGCAGCGCCGCCTCCCACCGTCCCGCCCCCGCGCCCGGTTGGGGGCACCGAGGCGCATGCGCGGTCAGCGCCCCTCCCTCTCCACCCCCACCCCCCGCTGGCGTCTGGGCCTGGTCCCCGTCTCTCTGTCTCCCTCTCCTCCCCAATCGGGTCCCCCGACACCGACACCCCGTTACTCCCGCGGTCTCCTAGGCTCAGCCGTGGTCCCCGGCCCCGTCTACCCCAGGTAAGATGGGGAGGGGGGAGGCCGGCGGGGAAGGGGAGGGGCGAAGCATCCTGCATCCCGAGATAAACAAACCGGAGGAGGGGGCGGCGGAGACGGAGGGGCCTGACGGGAGGAGAAGAATGGGGGGCTGGGCCTGGGGAGGTGGCAGGCGCTGGGCGAACGTACAGGGGTCCTCTGGTGGGTAACGGGGGTCCCTATGGTTGCCCAAGATCCAGTCGCGCGAGGGCCACCCGGGGCCTCCCGGAGCTTCTGGGCACTTGGACCCTGGAGCCTGCGGCCAACCTCTCTAGCTGACCTCTGCCTTGAGGATTTGCCTGAAGGCAGCCCCCAACTCTGCATCTGCCCCCCCAGGGCCACCAAAGACCATGACTAAGACAGATCCCGCCCCAATGGCCCCGCCGCCGCCCCGAGGGGAGGAGGAAGAGGAGGAGGAAGAGGACGAGCCCGTCCCTGAAGCCCCCAGCCCCACCCAGGAGCGCCGGCAGAAGCCTGTTGTGCACCCCTCGGCACCTGCCCCCCTCCCTAAGGACTACGGTAACCACTGTGCCCACCCTGGAATCCGGTCTGAAGCCTCGGGTGGCCTGGGAGGGTGGGCTGAGCTCTGTTGGTGGGGATGGTAGGGGGATTCTGGGGAACTAGAAGGTGGTCCAGAGGAGTCCTGGCTGCAGAGCCCTTGGAACCCCCCTGCATTAATTAATTCATTCACCTACTGGAGAGTGGAATTGTAATTCTAATCTCTGATTCATGACACATCATTTAGTCATTCAACAAACGTTTATTGAAAGCCACTGTGGGTCTGGCTTTATGCTAGCAGCTGGGGCCACAGCAGGGAGCAAGATAGTCTTTGCCCTGAGGGAACTCACAGGCCTCAATAACGACCACACAAGTATAAAAATATAATTTAAATATATAATTACAAAACATGATAAGAATTGTGTTTACCAAGAACAAGAGGCTGCAAGAGCTTTTAACGACATAGTTTGCCCAAGGAGGTTACATTCGGGGGAGACCGGAGGGTAGGTTGGGGAAGGGGGTCCCAGGAGAGGTAACCACAAGAGTAAAGGGTCTGAGGAAGGAGGGTGTGGAGCTAAGTGTGTGGCCTCTTGGAGAAACTGAAAGTATCCAATCATATGCCGAGCAACATTTATTGAGTGCTGCTACTCTGAGATGAGCCTTAGTGCTGTGTGACGGGGATTTAATGGTGGGTGACCCAGGCATGATTCCTGCTATCAGCAGAGGAGAGACTAAAGTGAACAGATAAATAAATCAGGTAAGTTCAGACTGGAGTGAGTGCTATGGAAGAAATAAAAGTTGGAAATGCAATAGATAATGTCTAGAGGATCAGCTAGTTGAGACAAAGTAGCCAGGGCAGGTCTTTCTGACAAGGTGGCATTGTCAGCTGAGACCCGGAGCTTGAGGAGGAATCAGCCATAGGAGAGCTGGACAAAGAAAGTTCTAGGCAGACAGCAGCAAGTGCAAAGGCCCTGGGGCACAACTGAGCTTGGAACAGAAAGATCACGGAGCTCCATTTAGGAAGTGAGCAGAGTAGAGGCGAGAGGTTGGCATGGGCTAGATCTAGAGGGGCCTTAAAGGCCACAGTTAAGATTTGGGGTATATTTTAAATGTGATGGCGGAGAGCAGTGGTGGGGGAGGGTGTTTAAAAGCAGAGGAGTGGCAGGTCTGATTTATACTTTTAAAAGCTCCCTCTGGCTCTGGGGTAGTGAGGAATGGAGCGCAGCCAGAGTCGGATGTAGCAGGGGGATTCTAGAAGGCGCTGGCTGGGAAGCCCCAGCAGCTGTGAGGTTCAGAAACTAGGCACTCGGTTCAGAGAGTTGGCGTCGCCAGAATAGAGCAGGAGAGGTGGCATGTGTGGACAGGTCATCCACTAGAGGTGGAGTAGAGAGACTACAAGTTGGCTTCAGTCCGATAGAAAAACAAGAAGGTTATCTGGGGAATGGGGGGTCCGCCCCAGGAAACCGGAGAGTCTCCTTTGGAAATGCAGCTGCAGGTGGCTGGGGCCCCCGGCTCGGGGGAAAGCCAGAGGGTCTAGGCTGGGCCCTCCAAGGAATCCTGCTGGAGAACAAGGAGGGTTTGTCACAGAATGTGAAGGAATCTGGAAATGTAGTCTAGGACAGACAGAAGGCTAAGAGGGACACGGAGAGGAAATCATGTATCTGTTTGTTAAATTTGTACATTAATTCAACACCTACCGCGTTCCAGTAGCCGTGCCCAGCCTTGGAAATAAGGGAGTGAACAGGCAGAATGGAAACGTAGTGTTTACATCCTAGCCAGGGCAACAAGTGAGAAAGGAAGAAAAAGGAAAAAAAAGATGGAAGGAGAGAGGAAAACAAGGAGGGAGAGAGGGAGAAAGGAGGAAACGTATTATGTGAGGTTGCGACAAAACTATGAGCAGGAGATGGAAAAGGGCAGGGTGCTGACTTACACAGGGTGATTTCGGGAGGCCTCTCGGAGGAGGTGACACTTGAGCAAAGACCTACAAAACCTTATGAAAATCGGAGGCAGGACTGTGCCAAGACAGCAAGTGCCAAGACCCTGAGACAGGAATTGGCCTGGCACGTTGGAGGGACAGGAGGAGGCCAGTGCAGCTGGAGGGAAATGAGTGACAAGGAGGGCCCGAGGCGCAGGGCCTGGGGTCCATGGTGAAGATTTTGTCTTCTGAGTGGGATGGGAGCCAGGGCAGGGTTCTGAGCCACGAAGGGTTATGACATGAGTGAGGTTTTAAAAGGAGCACACGGGCTGATTCCAGGAGACTCCTTCTATGTGGCGCTTCCCTGGGCTGTGTGTCATCTGCTCATTCATGCACTCATTCATTCAACACGCACTGAGTTCCTGCCACGTGCCAGGCCCTGTGCTGGGTGCAGATGTTGCCGCAGAGAGCGACACTCATCAGAAGTTACTGGGGGCAGACAGAGGCGCCTCTGGCTGGTCACAGGTTGGATCCTGCTCATGGATACATTTTATGTGGATCACATGGCATTTGAAAAATTTGGGAGAGTTTTATTAAAAACCAGGACTTCTGGCTTTTTTACTTATTTATTTGTACTCTGGAGGTTTGGCCAGACTGCGCCCGCACCCTCACAGGGCAGCAGTGGGCGAGCTCAGCAGCAGCCCCGTGGACATGTGGACCCCAAGCTCCCTCCACCACCCTCTTGTTTTAGGGGGTGGAGTTGCTGCTCTGTGGGAATTGCCTGATCCGGCCAATTTTCCAAGACACACCCAGCGTCTAGATTTTTACACAAAAGCTCCTGGGTTTGAAACCTAGTGCTGGCCACACAGAAAATGCCTGTGGGTTGACTGTGGTCCATGTGCCAC